TATATATATATATGTATACAGATGAATTCACTCAACAAAGTTACCAATATAAAAGTAAAGACATATTAAAGAGTTTCTTTTGACACATCTGGACGCGCGTATCTTGTTTATTTATAATAATAATAATAATAACTCTTCTTAAATTCACTTTGTATAGCATATGTAAACGCTTAGGTAAATAAATCTGCGCACTGGTGTACTAAATCCGATGCAAGCTGCCGTTTATAACGACTATACTATCGTTGAACTATATTTGTGCCTTCTTTGGGGCCTTACTTACTTATGCTAGTTATCCTTTTAGGTCCTTGTTGCATAGCACAGAGACGATCCACTATTATATATAAAACTCCTCCATCGACACCGACTTATGACGTGGAGCTGCGCGCTTCGCTATTGCAACGATAAGTCAACGTAGATATTAGGTTTCTCCTCAAGATTTGATAAAAACGAAAGACGCTTATCATGTTTCGGTTTATTTTGCACCCTATACCAGTAATGCCGAGGTTAAATGTAATACGTAATACTTGCTGACGTTAGAGCTAAAACATCTCTCGTATAAAAATTTCAGGTCAGTAAAGAACTTAAATTAGCACGCCCGGATGTTCACTGCACGTTCTTTGCTAAAAGTTGCTGGAGGCAACTTACTAATACCTGTGTTAACATTTCATGTGCTTCGAAGGGTATAACCCAAGCTGACGTCTTGAAATGCAGTTCAGCAAAAGGGGCCAGCCTGAATTTTTTCTACGGGCATTCTCATTTATTTTCACTGAGTCAACTTAAAGGCAATTTATATTCCAAGTTCTAACGAATCCATAATTAACGCTCACGAGACTCATTGCTAAACAGGCATACGACAATCGCCACCAAAATCATTAATGTTTTCCTCAAAATAATAAATGAAAAATTTAAGAAAGATTTTGCGTCTCCTGAAAGCTCGTTCCATCAGAATAGGTAAGCATGATCATAATGCGAGTGCTGCAAACATCCACTAGCTTCTAAGCAGTCGAAAGGCAAAACTTTGCCTGTTGTGAAAAAATTAACTTGTCATCGCATAGGTATTAAGTTCTAGATACAGCTGAAGATAACCCACTACATTTTGAGAATTACATTACAGAAACTGATGATATAAGAAGTAACAAATCACTTTTGCAAAACCTATATATAAATACAAAGTAAAAACAATGTTCTTGTAAAAACGAGCATAAGATACGACAAAGTGGAATGTGTCTGCTGTTATCGTTGCTAGAACCTATTATATGTGCATAGATATATCTTGCGTTAGATAGCGTTGTAAATCTATACGCATACGATAGAAATGGGTATTTCTCACGTTGTCTTGTATATTATGGAATGTAGACAACAAAGACGGAAAACTCGAAAAAAGTACTCACTTCCGAGTGAATCTCCTTTGCTATAAATAAATAAATCAATATTCCTCAAGCCGCTCAACAGGTCAGCAAACTCAGATATACGTATTTAATTGAATTTGAACATTTTGTGCGCAACTGCTCCAGTGTAAGAGCTTGGCTTGAAAGAGTAAGTGAGTCTTTACTAATCAGAACTTTTTACTTTTTTTTTACAGAAACAAAGTCCGGAAATGGTGGCGGTAAGACAAAATAGAAAAATATCCAAGTCCAGTTTTATCGAGGCTCGTCTTGTTTTCCCCCAAAGCTCACTTTGCAATGACTATATCTGCAGGCGTTTCATGCAGAGGGATTCTTTTAGCTTTGAGCGCATGTGGTCTAGCAAATGGACACCCGCGTAAAGCCACAAACATGGTACACACTGCTTCACATATCGACGTATGCATCTGGATGATCACGACTATTTGGTTTACCAGCTTTGTTATGTTTACAAAAATTAACCCTTCATTTAAAATATTAATGTACAGCTGTATGCTTCTAAGCATTTTGGTGCTCCCAATTTATCTTATTCCGTGTATACGCAGGCTGACAAAATTTGTTCGTAGTACACTTGTTTTCCATATGAATTCGAAATGTAATACACGACGAGTATAACATTGGCTATAGCGGTGCATATATGTAAGTATGGTAGGAGTACAACGCGACCACAGGACATACTTTTGGGCGGCTTAACAATAGAAAGGGAAAAATCAATACTACCACCAAAACATAATAAGATCACCGAATTGTATCCGTAAGTGCAAATCCGGATGGCCCTAAATTCAGTTACACAGTATCCCGTGTTATCGACATGAGGTAGCCGATAACACCCTCATAATACGCCCGTTTGTCACGTCACGCGTTGTCACAAACGTACGTCACTAAATAGACACCCCCTTTTTCTCGTCATGAAATATCAACATAGCTTTGAATAAATGATAAGTATTTAGAAATTCAATTTTGCAAAAATAAAATTACACAGTAATAAGCTAGATGGACAATTCGAGAACATCAGAAGCGACAGTGTCAACCTCTTGAGATTTCGCCAAACTCTTGTTTTTCTCTGAGTGTTAATTTCTACGTCTCCAGCAAGTTTCATTATTTATCATAGGTTTTCTCGTTATCATATACATTTTCCATCGTCGTTATCACCACCACGATGACAATTGTACTACAGTGACAACAATAAACAACCGCTGAACTCGGCAAACATGTATTCTATATGGATACGTCTATATCTTTACTTGGTATACGTAATATATATATACTTTTTATGGCTGTAAACCGTGGAATCTTGAGAGAGATTTTATGTAAGCTTTATCGGCGTCATGCTAAAAAATTACGTAAACCTTTTAATTATTGCCCTATGACGACGTTCAACATACGGTCATACAGAGGGCAGTAATATCGGTCAAAATGGCATTGATATATTAAATAACGATTGTTTTGTTTTGTCTGTGTTTTTGAAAACGGTCGCCGCATGCAGCACGATTGGTTATTGCCGTGTTAGTGAATTGCAATGAGTGACAGTCACTAATTGGCGCTCTGCCTTTACCTAACCTCTTTCTGTGATAATGAACAATCAATTGGGATGAGATGGCGAGTGTGTCTATATAAGGTGATTCATATATCATATGGATGTTTTGTATGGTAATATTCAAATAAAAGTTTATAGTAATTAGAAGCACTTTGGTTTCTCGATCATGATCGAAAGGCTGGTGAGTCCGACGTTTACTGGTGACAGATGCGTTAATGGAAGCTCTATCCGGGGGAAGTCAATCTTGCGGACGAACTCCAGTTTACTTTGTGGGAATTCGGACCTATAAGTTATAACTAGTTTGAGAAATAATCATATAAATAGGAGCATTTTGTATCTTAGGTTCGATTTAGCCAATGCATATACACTGGCTCCAGTTGGAAGCGCCTAATTTTATCCTAATTCGAGGCAACTGAATGTATTATTTTTTGTCCACGCTTATTTACAAACTTCTGCCGTAATTAAACAGCTTTACCTGTGAATAAGCGTCTTGTTCGCATAGAGGCAGTTTGCAGCTCGATCATCGTGAACTGTCACCGTCTGGTACTGACGCGTTGCTTCTCGTTCAATCTCCTACGATCCAAAAAGGTTATATTTTGAATATCTCAATACAAGGGTGAAGCGCTCAGATTTGCCAAGCATTCGAAAAGTCGCTAGCATATATATATGTGTGTGTACATATTCGTCATCTGTACGTACCCGTTTCATCAACTGGGCTTCTTTCGAGTTTGACACGCAAATAATGCCAGGACCAGCCATCGAGATCACACTCTTCATGGGCTCCTTGCACATCACCTGCAGCATTTAAAAACGACTTAGGATGATTTTATCATTCCTGCTCACAGTGTTTTTCCTAAAACAGGCCATTTTAGAGTGTACGTATTTCCTTAATACATCAAATATACATTCGAATATGCCATTCCAACATGCTGGGGTACGCCGGCCACAGAACTCGAAAACTCTCAGATAGAAAAAGAACGACGTGCACAAGCGATTGGAAAAAGGTTAGCAGGTAACAATAATTAAACTGATACTAATATTATTCTACGAATTACGTACTTTTCCAACTCAACAATGTAATTTTTTTATATATTTTAAGAGTCATTGTGTATGTTAACTAGTAGCATCGTTATAAAACCTTGATGGGTATTGTAGGAAACTCCGGAAAGACTCTTGCAAGTGCTCTGGCACCCGCCTCGTTTGTGCGCGGAGAAATGCCGACGAAGAATTCATCACCTGCGAATTGTTCAAGAGGAAAGTCTATTTAGCCATGCCAATATAAAAACGCTCGCTGGCTCGCTATGCCATTCCCAAAGGAAAATAGACGAATCTCTGTCGTAACCAAATGCACCCAAACGCTCGATCTGATTTCTGTATATCTAGGCGATTAGGACAAAGAAAACAGCAAGTGGAATAAACCTGTAAATAGAACGTCCCCCCCTTCGATGGTTGCCGTTGGATCTTCAACCTCTTCAATCCGAATTCCAATTTCTCTTTCAATGGTCTTTCGAATTAATTCCACCTGAAAATGATATGCAAATTAATAGTAATGAATCAAAAATTGTTCATGAGTCACCATAATATATCGATTGATCTACAGTTATTATTGCACGAGCAAGTATGAACGATATGAGGGGAAGCGATGTCCAGAATGACGATTCATAAAAATGTGCGAAAATCCACCATTGATGCAGGCGACGCTCATAACAACCAAGATGTGACTTCAAACAAATATAAAGTCACATAGCGCATTACGTTATTTCAAAGGTATCTCTCAGCATCTCTATAGATATGTAGTATAGAGGTCAGTATCTCTGACATTTTGGCCACAACTGAGGCAGCCGAATGTCCGAAATTGAAATTCTCTTCGAACGCTCAAAATATTAATTTCACTGTAATAAACTTGCGAGAAGCCTACTTGAGCTAACAGCGCTTGACTAATTCACAAAGCCATGCTAAAATAATAAAGAGTGGAATTTAAAGCATGAGTTAATCCCTTAATGGATATTTTTACTTATCATGAGATAACTCAGAGTACGATCAGTGTCTTTTGCTGGAAGCACACTTGTTTAGTTCATGGCATCAGCAAATCTCTGTACGCTAAGCGTGGAACGTTGGAGAACTAATCTTCAGCTCCCCAAATAAAAATCAGACGTTTGAAATAATTTATAAACATAACTCGAACAGTTATTTTTAACCAGACGTCGCATATAACTATTATAGTACCGTATGTCATGCATCACCTGAGCGAAGGCACCGAACACTGCACAGAAATCTTAGCCTGTCATAAACTATCAAACAGTGTATAAATGGCTTATGACAGGAGCCTAAATAATCAATCGTTAATATTATGATTAAATAAATAAATAAACATTATTTTAGAATTTGTATATATTTGCTTGTAAACGGTAATATTTATACGAGCAGGATACTAATATGCTTTTGTTATGCCCTACATGTCTGAGCTAGGTATACGATACGGATCGCATCATACCAAAGGAACGTATTTTCAAATTTTAGATAATGAACGTTGCATTAGTCTGACTTTTACTTTGTTTCAATCATCATTCGTCCGACGCTGATTATGCCTCCGCGGCATTTTCTACGCTTATTACCTATATTTTAGAAACAAAGCCAATATTACTTGGGGAAAATTATCAACCGGACATAGATTAAACGACTGCTAATGACATACTAACCAGTTGCTTTATGGTAGGTTGAGCATCGAACTGCTGGGCTAACTTTGTTTAAACTAATTCTGCTTACGTTTGGTGTGCAAACCTAAAGCGCCATGCAAGGAGTTCTATTAGACCGATCTAATGCTATTGCTAAGACAGTTGAACATAAATCAGCGTCATTTTTTCTAATAATCTTGAATTGTCTCTGATATTGGCGCCATGCGTGTGTGTGTTTTCGAAATACAACTCTAATTAAGAGAGAATGCATCGTTTGGCGCAGCTGTATCGTGAGAAGAACTGAAGAAACTGGCGTTCAACTAGCTGTGACCCTCTCCGCCCTTAAACCTATTTAGTTAGTAATTATTGTTCGAGAACACGATAGAAATTAAAGCCAATGATGACAATTATGAAATGTGTTTCTGTACTCATAATTGAATGGATGAAATATGTTTAAATGTTCTATTGGAGTAAAATCGGTCAGGTAATACTAATATATAATAGTATATCCAGGTCGACGTTACTGCGTAATGATTTTTTTGTTTCAAAGAAGTGCTACGCTAAAATAACGTTTAATGCAAGGCATCGTGGTGTTGTCCGCGTAGCTACTACACATCTCTTTAAACACATTGTCACGGTAACTACGAACATGCGCCTATCGCTAATTCAAAATTCAAGGTTGGCAGATGGTGTCTGAGGCGTGAGGTGTGATTACCATGCCGTTTATTGAACTTCTATAAAAACCCTAGGTAAGTCCAGCAAAGTTCCTTCCGATTACACTCCGTTGTAGGGTAAGTCCTTGATGCTATGCCACAATGCCCATTCTGACAACTTGCTTCCATCATAAAAATAGGTGAAATAATGTTAAAAAAAAATAAGTTTAAAGAGAGCGAAATGAAAATTTGTTTTTCATCTATGTGGAATTCTAAAAATAGAAATAAGACATTTTTGTTATCATACACAGGATGTTCACAATGCAACATAAATACGCGGGACGCTAGTCAAAATTTGCTCTTTTAAACTTTTAAAAAAAGCCTATTGTGTTTTATTCGTTTATCGACGACAGGGTAAATTTCGGACTATAAAACAGTTTGCAAAAAGTTATTTTAGAGGACACTAAAATCTCGCACAACTTGTGGAAATGTTTATGAAATGTAGCATTTTCCTCCTACACATTGAAGCAGACTTGTTTTATCGTTTTGAGCCTTCATGTCACACGTTACAAGGAAAAGATAAAGCAAGAACAAACTGTCGTTAGTCTTTTAGAGGAAGTGTATCACCCCTTGAATATCCTGAACTTATTATGTGTCTCTTTAAATAGAGCGATGTCCGACAACTTTGAATCCCCCTGACCTGCCAGAATAATTTTACAAAAGACATTTTTTAATTTACATATCTAAATCGCTGCATGAGCTATGCAGTGCAACAGCACTGATTTTGCGGCAAGCTCGCATATGAGCGTTAGGACAGTCACCGCTTCTCATCATCGAAAGAGAGCAGTGTACCCTTTAAAACAATGTTTAAAAATATTCTTTAGTCACTGAGTGGAGTAATTAGTAATTCCATGTATAAGGATAATATAAAAGTTGTCCTAAAGCTAAGTATATTAAAATGTCAATCCGACTTGGCGGACTCCAAGCCCTATATTATAGAATAGTAGTCCAATAGGTTATAACTCTAAACTCTAAAGAAAACTATTTGCATAAGAAATAATAAATATTAACTACTTTGTCCACGTAAATAGCTCGCCTCACATTACCATTTCTAATCGAACGCTTGAGTTCACTCGATATTGCATTAACTGGGCAAGGGTTTGCGTGATGCAATACCGATTGTCATAAGGAACCAGTATCCTAACAGCTTGGCCTCGAGCGCCTAATCCGATATTTGGAATGACGAAAGCACGCCCTTCGCACCCAGTCTACTAAAGTTTAAGATTTATTTGCACCGTTTGCTAATACAAGTGAACTGGGGAATATTAGCTTGCTTTCAAAACATTTTTAGCTTTACGAAGATTCAACTTATACGTATCAACGCCACTACTTTATAATAAACCTAAATACCTAATAATAAAACCTCGTTATTGCATTGAAGGAAATCTATCTGGTCTATCTCAGCAAAGGAAAAAACAGATAAGCATTCTTAAACAGATACGCATTATCCGTGATGGGTTTCACACAAGCATGTTTTAGTCACCTTCAGTATGTTCGATATCTCCCTACTCCTGTTGAATTTGAAAAGTAAGATATACTCTCTATGTAGAAATGTACTGATAGAGCTCGAACGTGTGAGTATATCAAACTAATTATCCGGCAATAATAACCTAAATTAATAAGTGTTTTATTATAGTGGTTTTCTAATTTCATTTGCAATAAGTATAGGCAGTTGCTAAAACGCAGTTGCTTTTTCCACGTATTCCCTAACACTGCGGTTCACCTAGAAAGCGATAAGCAGGCACATGCAGAAGACAGTCCACCATTTATGGCATGTCTGAGCCAGCGCTCAATAGTAGGACAGAATGTAAAACTCGTGATGTGCTTATTTGTAATGTTTGCCCTGAATATCAACCTACTGGCATTGTACACATTAATTCGATCTGAACTCACAATGTTTATGCGATTAAAAGCCCTTTCATAGTTCTTGCTCCCCTTATCACACTGGATGTGCAATCTTTGTTATTTACCACACAAGAACCGATGCTGCGCTTCACCGAGGTCAAAATGGCGAACCTTATTGAGTAAAAAGTGGATAACGCTGAAGATGTCAGCAATTCAACAATCACAATTAACAAGCGCAGATCGGCGGACTAACGTGTGCGTAAAGCGCCATTAGGTTTTACCTGAATTTACCTTTCTTCTATGTCATTCATTTACGCATGAACCACAATATGACACGCTGCCAAAGCAATGGTGGAATCGATTTGAGTAAACTAGGTCGATAAAACCGAGCAAACCACGTTTCAAACGCGTGACTAGGCATCACACTAGTTGCCACTGAAATCCAATACGTTTCATGTAGCATTAAATGTTAAACTTGTAGGAGATATAGCCTCCGTCTCACAAACACTTCGTTTTTCCCAGTTCCAATTTAAATGAACAAACGTTTACTCAAATACGAAACATACAAATCAATGTACAGCAGAAGCGAAAAGGCTTGCAAAGCTATGAGATTCGACGGTAAAAGATCCGAGCCGATACTGCAACGACGAACTGTTCAGTATTTTAGATAAACCGTTGATAACTTTGGGCCCATGCTTGAAAAGAGCTAAGTGTCACTGGACAATTTGCCCCGTGATTCTGGATTCACCATGTGCATTAAAAGGCTGCGCGACTCGGGTCATTATAATTGACATTGAAAATGTTGTCAGGACTTATTACAATTAGAATTTACTTTTCTATAGTCTTAGAGGTACAATTAGCATATATGTTTCTTCATATGTCAACAATGCTGACCATCTACCATTATTCCATGTTCTGTTGCTTTTTTAAAAAAGATTAGCTATCATTAGTTAAACTCAAATCAAAACTTCGTTAAAAATTTCGATTGAAACGCCGGTGTTTGTAAATATGCGGTCTGTATACAAAGACACAAAATAGGGTGCATAAATTCTAAGGAGGCCGCCACCTATGTAGCTGACGAATCCTCTACCTCTTTAAGTCTCTGTCGTGAAGCAGGTTTACAGATGAAGGCAGTGCCATTAGTCACAACAGCCAAATCGTTAACAAAAGGGCATTCAGGTGAGAGCTCATCCGAAGGTAATTCAATCACGTCGATATTCAGGTCACGCAGAACAGAACAATACGCTGAATGCTCGCGTTTCGCCTGAAAACACAACCGACCCACGTTACTATTATATGTATATATATATATGCTATATGCTGTATGTACAACATCGAAGCAATATAATTTATACGTAAATTTCTTTATATAAGAGCTGTCAATGAAAGAGACGAATTAGGTATATCTCAAAAGCAATTTAGTAAGACCTTACATATATTATGACCTCGGACATTAATCAGCTAAATAGATTTCATCTATCCCACAATACGTTTCCCCTAAATTAGATCACTACAACATTTCTAGTGAGCCACGTTACATAAATGAAGGAATAAAAAAAAATTACGTTACTCAACGTTACGAATCATAGATAACACACCCTTAATGATATGTGCCAGTGATCAAGAACAAAGGATAAATCAATGCTCAGCTTAACAATAAGAAAGAAAATAAATATTTGAATCTTGTAAGATTTAAAAGCAAAAATAAAAAAAGTATTATTACATTTATCCTTTATATATAAACTTTTGACCGCAATGCAGAAAGTCAGTCAAAAATTAAGAATTTAAAGTGCCCCCAAAAAACAAATATCAGCTTTACAACTATATATACAATGCTTACCATTATTATCTGGGAACCATGTATTAAATCTCTTTTTCGTCATACTATAAAACACAATGGCATACCAGAACGATTTGACAAAGTGACGAGCTCATTCCTTGCAAAAATGTGCCGAAATCATTCTCCCAAGGTGGCTTGTTTCTGTGCGAATATTTGCTGCCAGCATCCATATAACAATCAATATTAATCGAATTAGCATAATAGTTACACTGACATACAAGTGTAGCAGAAAGCTATCATTTCAATTGCATAAAGAGTTCCTCCGAAACTGATATCAGACAGAAAAATAATTACGTACGCAGTAGTATTAACAGTGGTCAAGAGCAAACATTGAAGTACGTCCGCTAGACAAAATCGGGAACCTTTGTCATCAGGCACATTACTATACAAGGCTAGTCCAGTCAGTACCGCACTTTATATTATTTAAAACTGGCTTAGTTAAAATACAATAGGCTAAAATATTGTATATAAGTTTGCAAGGACTTTAATGGCATCACTACTTTCTTTGGTACATGAGGTCGATATTGCTAGATTAGGAAAAACCAAAGCATGCAGAAATGGTCAAGCGTTCGGTTGTAAGGAGACCAAAAGAAATACCTAATTGCAATTAAAAACTACAAAGTGAATCCAGTAGAAGTAGAGTATAGTCAGGCACTTAGAAGGCAGTAAAGATATTATAGGTTCTTAATAGCAACACATGTTCAATTACATTTAAACTAATATAAAAGTAAAAGTTTCTATAATTAAGCAATATTTTCAGCTGATAAATTTATACGGCCTATAATTCTGGGTATAAATATCTGATTATTTGTATCCTTAAAGAAAATCAGGAAAGATATCAACAAGAACATAGAAATAACTATATTTAACACATAGATAGGAGTGCGCTTCTGCAGCTGCGTAAAATGCACGCCCCGTGGAAGACCTTGTTCAAGACATAGAGACAAAAAGCGTAATGAGTGCACCGCCATGTGGACTCCGCGAGGCTGCGCTACTAGGTTCATTTTCTACCGCGTTCGTTTTAAATTATGCATTTACACTACCGGAATTAACCTTAAGTACTTAGGTCAATATAAGGTCAATACTAGTGTTACTACTCGGGTAATTATGCCATTAGAAAAGCAAGTTCGTGTTCACACCAAGACCAGCTGAGGCACGTATCTGCTCCATGCTAATCGATTCAGGCATGCCGATGAATTTGGTACTGCTTGAGTTCTGCTTAACCGATTAGCAAACAAACAGTCCATGCGAATGGCTTATCGCCTGCGTCTCTGGCGTTGTCGCTTATCGTTTACTGAGGCCAATCCCTTTTCGTTTGTTAGTGCTTTCCTTCTCAGCCATACACAACTGGAGAAGTGAAAAGCACCAGTCGCATGAGGCCCTACCCGCACCGGTAATCGGCCCTGCGTAATGCTGATGTCAGTGACAGATTACGCAAGCAACGTGGACCTAAGAGGCTTATCGACAACGGCGTCTACCTCAAACATCAATCACCTAAGGGAGGCTACAGGGCAGCATAGCAAGACATGAGACACGAACGTACTCGCCGCCATACGGAAGTGCAAACAGGCAACTCTGAAGCTTCTTGTCGCCGATCAGCCAGATAACGTAAAGCAGTAATGGAACACTGAAACGATCGTCGTAGTGGTACTATGCAGCCGACGCTCTTTAGCAGCCGCAGAGTGAAGGTATTATTAATATGGAAAATGCTGTTAATGTAAAAGCGCTGCAGCATCGGGACGTACATACACATAGTGGTGTAAACAAACGGAAGCAAGCGGTAGCTGGCTCAATAGAATGAAGATTTTTTTCTTCAAAGAGTAAGGAGATATGTTCCGTTACGTCGCTACGTAGAGACACGCTCTTCATTCGTGGAAGTATTACAATGGTTATTAGAAGAACTGCCCAGGATATTTCTGTGTTTTGTAATATCTTGCTATTACTGCCACTATTGGCTTCGCTGAAATTACTCACCGCTGAGCTCTTGCCGTTAACAGGGTAGGTGGCAATACAAACAATCCCACGACAGAACGCTTGTGAGCCAAACGCTCTCCTTATATGTGCCACGAAGATTAATTAACATTATGGTTATTTATTATTGTCCTCTTTAATTCTTAGACAAACATGAGAGCTGCTATTGTCATCGCACACATATGGCCCACGATGATACGAATGAAAGTGCATTTGCAACGACGTAGAGATTCTGACCATGCTAATACCGTATAACATTAGACCTATAAAGCACATGTAACGTGTACGTCGATGTACACGTCGAGACAAGCATACGAATCCTTCAGCTGATTGTCTGCTGTCTGAGTTGATAAATTGTCTACTGCAAGAAGTTACGCATATGTTTTTTTGGAAAGTACTGTGTTAAAAAGAATTAAAGATAAGCTTCGTAAAGCAAATAAAAACTCGTAATGATGATTTTTGACGAATTTTCGCCTTGTACCGCGTATCCTATAGAAATTCAGAACGTAGCACTGAGTCAAAATTTAATTCAGCTAAATTCAATAATTTAACATCTACTCGCCAGATTACCAGTCGCACACGGCTTGAAATTCACATTATAGCCAAACAATTCACAATACACCATATAACTGTTCTGTCTAGGTCGTCCTAAATTCGGGTTACAATTATACGGTAATACGTATAAATTGCGGATTGCTTGCCATTCTTCTACAAATTGTAGATAGCAAACCAGCATGCACTCCTGCATAATTTTAAATATTTAGGGAAAATATAGCCAGGTGCCTGCGGGTAGTAAATTTTTAATAGTTATCAACACAGTTATGCAAGAATTGATTGCTGCTCTAATACAATAATCTTCTAAAACTTTTAGGGCTTTAAAATTAATAATTCGCATCCAATACTGATCCATTCGTGTCCTATCATGTATAAAATAAAGCAATATTTTCCCACCCAATGTAAAGCTCAAGAAGCCGTCACGTACGAAAATATTTATGTAAACATGTTTGATAAAAGTTAATTTGCTAAGTTATATTTGGCATTAATATAAGGAGCTGAAGATTTCCTGTTGTTCGGAGAACACTCAGTAAAGAGCCAGCTTTACTTTGATTTGACTCTATCGGAGTTTGAAACACTCATAAATTATCATATTTTTACTCTAAAATATACACCATGGTCCAATATTCGGCAAGAAGTTTGCATGCAGCACATTCAAGTACGCGTACATGAGTGTAACGAGCGAATTAAGTTTTTTATTTGTCGACAAGGAGCTGAGCTGGGTTCAATACGTATCCAAAAATAATCGTCGTCATTTTTCTACCTTACGTAATAATAACATTTTATAATTCATATATTGAACAGCACTTTCCCTAGGACTCATTCTCAACTGGTGATATTCTCGGTACGTATCGTAACTTATGGTAAATAAGTCACTAGGTAAAAGACATTATTGCTAATCTGAAGTCTTCCATGCATTACATTGTACTGCAGGGAAAATGCTCACACTCATGTACGATTTCAGATCGGTTCCAAATGTGAGCGTTACGTGGGCCTTTTACAGCGGCACCAGTATTTATTTTTTCACCCTATTGATCTTAGCCGCCTGACCGACCCACTCCTTCGAATATGTCGACTCTAGGAGAATAAGTAATTCGATTCTGTGTGCTTGTTAGGCTCCTGAAAATGGAGTAGAAAACAGGACAACCGACACTAGAGCCAATTCAAATATTCCTTCTCCGACGAAAGCCACTACGCGGATGATATAGTATTGTTTGGTGCTGCCAAATGAAATAAGTGATTCTGAAAAGAAAAAAAGCCAATAATTTCTTTTCTATTCCATGGTGTCTTCTCACTAAAAATCGAGCAAGCATTTTTGTGGTGGGTTAAAATGTTCACTCTGAACTGGATCTCTTACTCGAAATAAACCGTATAATTTGATTCGAGTCAATGCACACATGCAATTTGTATCTTTTTTGAGTTTTTTTCTCCTCTACCACTTTTTATTTGTTAACATTATGCTAGTTGGATGGAATACATGACAGCGAAAAAAAAATCGCTGTGAAAGCTGCACTGAAACAATGCGTTGTTCAGCTTGTTTTAGGATTATAATTCTAAGCATATTATCAAATCGCATATAATCCATCCCAACACATCAAGTTCATTTTGTAACTTTTCTCTTACGGAAAAACTACAATAAAATGGTGCCTTTAGCAGCTGCTGTTAATGCCGACATAAGTTTAGATACACGCCTCAGAGATAACGGTAAAGCCAACTATTATCCAGCCGCTCACAAAGAATTAACGTTTTACGTTCAACAGGCTTTCGTCATTAAAAAATAATAAACTTGTTATCAGCCAGTCGTTGTACAAAACTAAGCGATTATTATTAGTCGCCATGATACTGCAGTGGCAACATATTCGTCGACTAAAACCTAAGGCATCTAGAAGTTGAAAACTGGGCATAAACATACTCCGTTTCGTACTAGTAGACAATCTTATGAAGCAATCAATGCTCAACGACAAGACCGTAAAACTCAGAACATTCATTTTTGTAGTGATTAACCACTCAGATAAAAGTCTCCGTAATTATTCTGGCGTCTTTCCTGGCAAAACGTTAAACATTCGTAAGAACTTACTTGCGACGGCCATAATAACTTTCGCGTTTGCTGGTAAATAATGATACTCCCATTGGTTTACGGTTTTTTCACGCCCGCTGCGCGGGCTGCGTACTTATCACAAATTCCATACAAAGCAACGTCTTCGAAACCTATGGATAGAAACAGGTTTATTCTGCTTCTCTAAAGTCACGTAACCACATAATCTAGTTTGTGGACTGAATCTTAAATGCCCACAACGACAGACGTGTATCTTGTTACGTTGTTCACTAAACTATGAAACCACATAATTCTTACTGAGAGCCACACACAAGCCACACGCAAAAGCTCTAAGCACAATGTATATGCATATATCATTCAATATCTTCGCTTGCTTATTAAGATATCATGTAAAAGAACCAGTCTTTATCTATAATGATTCATAGAGTAATTTACTTACAAAATGGATGGTAACCACCTGTTGGTTTTCTTGTATTATCTAGGGTAATCCAACCTTTTACCCTCTCTCTAGGGTGCCTCATGACTAACAAAAGTACTGAACTATCGTAAAGTAACCTACGGTCTTATTTTACTGCTAAGAGCAAAATCACATCGCCGAGGGCCTCAAGGGTTTCAATTGGCGCGATTCTGATAGAAATATTTAGGTTTCGTTGTTCTTGCACCAAAGTTGTGTATACATTTTAGGTTCGCGCAGGATCGCATATTAGCCTAAACAGAGTTCCCAGAATTTCATTAAAACAGAAATTTCGATCATTCTATGTCAGGTGTGTAGAGATTTTAATGTCATTGATATGATTTACTACGGTTTCCGGTGAACTACACTGATCTATTAGCAAAACTATCATTCTACTATTCTTTTGAAAAATGGCGAGCTCATACTGAACTCTTCTTCTAATTCACATCTCTTGAACGCCTTAAAGACCTCATTTCAGGTTTATATAACTGTGAAGCTGTCCTATCAGTTGGGTACATAAATACAAACCTGTTCTGTACTTTGCGTTCCTGTAACGATGCTTGTCAGTTTACAGTAGCTTTCTGGTACTCGACAAACAATAGCATGCGTCGTTTTCCCAAAAGCCATACTTTTTCTGCTTTATCAGAGTCGTAACAAAAACACACAGACACGAACTTATTGTCCTGCTTTTTCGGCGCTACACAGAAAAATCTTGCTTCGTCTATCGCTTGCTTAAGCACAAACCTACCACCTACAGGGACAAAGCACGCACAGGACCGCCCCAAAATGACCAGGCGAAAAACCACTACCCCTGTAATTCACACCACCATCGAACTCCGATTCTTTTTATAGAGGAGACACATCAAAGAAGAGCTCGAACTCACGCATTGCGATAGCGAGTGTAAAAACACCCCTTTCCCTAATACTACAGTTATGGCCTAATGGGAATGTTCGTTTTTGACGGAATTCAATTGAGCTCACCGCGAGCACCCGTATAGAATGCACACTCGCAGATTCTCTCACCAAACAGTGAAGTAAACACCAAGCCAGCTCCTCCTCTTTGCTTTTGACAATTCGCTCTCACACCATTGCGGTGTAATCTATGCGAGGGTACAAGGCGAGGGAAAGGCAGGCATAGCAGAAGCAGACGGACAGACAGAGTAGCCCACGACAATTTCATCGTATTGCTCTCAGTAGTTAACATCGGCAAAACAGCAGCGTTCAATACCGTGTTCCCTGTAAGCAATGGAACAATTAGTAGACTGGCAAGGTCGGGGCGCCCTCACTTCCAAGTATTCCCAGCATGCCGCGCGCACATTTGAAAGCTTCTGAGTGATCCTAGCAGAACTACGCCCTAGAACATAGACGCATATATAGGTTAATGATTAAAATTAAGTTTATACATTGATGGGTCTGTGGCTGTTTCTGTGCTACTTGGCATTTTGTGTTTTTGTGATGTGTTAGCTCTAATAGTAACAGTTGCAAATTTAGCCGAAAGCTACCAATGTAGGCTTTTGAAGCACAGCGTAAGTAACTTGTAGCAAAGAAAGGGGTAATCCTCATAACGGTTTAGCATTTGTATTTGCTGTTTTTTCTCACTGATTTTTTAATAAAACTAAATTTTCAGCCTACTAGACCCTTCAAACTGCTTTGTATTGTTTTTAATTGGGCCGCTAGATGCGCTCTTAGAACGCGTCAGACGATTTGTCATCGTCTGCCACAGGATAACAGCAACATTACGACAAAATTGTTTTTATGAAAGCCGTGCGCAATGTGTGCCTGCAGCTGGCTGCAGGTGTGCGGTAGTGTTCTCTGTGTCAGGTGATTTCAAAGTGTTGGCAGCAGGTCGGTCATAGTTGCAACGGCGAACTCCGAAGAGGTTGTGTCGTTTGTAAGTCGCGCCGCAGATTGTAGCCGCTGTATCGTCGAATTGGAGAGGAGGCGCTGTAACGGCAGCTTGAATCGCTGGTTTGGAATCGCCGCCACTATATCGCACCGTTGCTGTTGTTTGGTATGAGTGTGTTTATGTGGTCGTCTATTGTAAGTGTATCCCTTACAGAGTGCCAAAGCTTCTGCCCATCGAATACTCACTGTGCTTCCGACCAGGGTGAGGCATTCGTTCCATTAAGGTACGTAGCATTAACTTACTGTTTCGGCCGGTAGTTGCAGTTCTATCGATTACTAGATGACATGAATCAGCAGTCTTCGCCATTCAGACAGTACATATATCTAATTTATGAACGTTAAGTGCCTTATTTAATATAACTCGGCAAGTAGTATCAATCCCATTTATTGGCGGTAAGTGTTGTGTTTGTGAACAGCCATCATAGTACCGGGCAGTCAGTTAACAACTATAGGCCTAGCTATTCGGCGACCCACAAGTAAGATGAAATTAATAATGGGGCAAAGTGACCAGTTCAAAGGCACAACGACTGTAACATGTATGCTTTGCATTTATGATTTGATGCCCTGATCAGGTGTCGTTATCCTAATAGTGAAATCAGGATAGAAATTCAAAGTGAGCTGCAAAATGGCCACAAACACGCTATCATCGGCGTTCCGCAAGTTGGACATCGACCAATACAATGAGGATCTGTTCGTCGACGAGTCAGGCGGAGAATCAGCTGAGCTGGTCCAAGTTCCAGGACCTGATGAGGCGGAGATCAACGCATTGCTTAATGGATATCCTTTTTACCCTGTTTCACAACTGCAACAGCATATAAATAAATTGATCAGAACATTAGTAAAAAAAAAAAAAGAAAAACACATCAACCCACAGGAACATATAACAACACGCACCATAGGAGAGCCTTTTCATACTAGCGATTCATAACTCCTACTAGCCTTTTCATACTTCAGATACTAGTGATTAAAGAACTTGTGTTTTGGTCTTAAAAAATATACTTTATGAAGCCTTTGCCACAAATCACAACCATCGGCATCATTCATTGTTGCAATTACTATTAAAAAAACATATGTGTACTTTATATAGTATTTGCACATGTTAAGCGATTCGTATAAATGGTGTTTGGTTATATTATCGTAATTGTGAGTGGCTACCCTTAGATACCAATGGGCGCCCTGTTAGTAATCCGCGCTTAAAAAATATAGGTTTCAATTTTGCAATACTAGTTTCGCGAGCAAAATAATTTTGCTTACTAATTCTGTTATCTTCTAGATACATACGTAGTTATGTAACAAATTCTTAAACTACCATCATGCAATGAACGTCTTAATTCATTATTTTTGATTTTGTTGAAACAATACATCGAAGACCGCTGAGGCTCTTAAGGTCGTTCTCAAGAATGCACCAATAAATGCAAAAGGATTTGATGTCAAGGTATGATGATTATATAGTTTCTTTCTGAACTATATAGAATAGTATTTTCGTAGTAGTGCAAACTGCTAGCATGATTATCACGATTGTATTTCTTTTTATTGATGACTATCAGTGTTGTGTAACGAAGTATATACACAGTGCACGAATATCGTATGATCATTTGTTTGCAGGATAAGGCATTTGCTTTAGCTATGAAATGCATGCTGGCAATCCGCGTCTCCGAGATGGATGCAGTAGTCTCGTCACTGGAACCTGAGCTCATCGACACACTTATGAAGTACATTTATCGAGGATTCGAATCACCAGCAGAAGGTTCATCAGGTCATCTGCTCGCTTGGCACGAAAAGGTTTTTGCCCAGGGCGGCCTTGGCTGTATCATCCGTGTTATGACCGCCAGGAAGTCCGTTTAGATGGTGCAAGTAATGTCGCCACCTATTTTCTGTCGATGTAGATGTAACCAGAAGCCGATGATTAGTGATACTGGTGACCAAGCTAACCTAGCATCAATTAGTCAATCCCAATGGCGGCATAAATGAGTGGGTGGGATTAGGGTTGAACTAGCATACATCGATAATACCATGGACTTGAAATGACTCGCCTCATATGCAAGCCATTAGGAACAGACATGTCATATTCCGTCAACCAACACTGCATCGCATCATAATAGTAATTGCGAATATGACAAACAAATAAATCGATTACCTTGCCCTATGGATAGAAAACCCTATAGTTAGGTTTTCCTTGAATGTATTTGTGACATCAGCATATAATAGTAGCGTGCGAATGATCTGTCAGGACAAACGAAATCGTCGCATGAAGAAAAGAAACAAAACAAATTTGGTTAGAATCAAACACATTATTAATATTTATTATTTATCGAGCATGAAACGATGATTGTTTTCGTGTTTTCGCGTCTACCATAACGTTTTCTTTGTGTTAACATCCCTGCATAAAAGTTTACACTCACTATATTTGTCACTTCAGAAGTCTCGGTCCCCTAGTCGAAAAAAATTAAGACAGGGTCACACTATGCACACAGACAACTGCATGAGTAATCATTTCAAATTGAATTTTCAGAAACTTGTTGAATTATTGTAGCAAAATCTTGTCTGAGTAGCGCTCCGGCTATCGTTGGCGCAGCTCAAAGTGCTTGACACATATATGATACCTTAAAGTAGGTTGGTTGAAGAAAGGTTCAGAAAATATGTCACCTAGGGTGCAAAATATTCGTGTATAATAATAATATTAATTTAACATTGATACGAAATCTTATCCTGATCAACACTCCTTACATCTTATGTTGTACAACTATTTTGCGTAGGTCAAAGTATGTCAAGTTTACAGGTGTACACTGTTTTTTTTATGAACTATGTCGTTACATCAGATTACGTATTTGAACGCAACTTCTTGCTTATGCCGTCACATGGTTGTGTGTCGTGCGGTAATTCTAAATAGGAACAAAATGGCAAGAGCCGATTCGCCCTTCAATTTTCGCAAAACTATTCACTCGTTGAATTTCGCGCAGTGAATATACAACTAGAACAGGATATAAAATGGTTAATGTTAGTATACATAGGTGAGCTTATTGAATAATAAGCGCTCTGTAATCGTTTGCAATTAGGCGATATGTAAAAATGCAAATAGTCTATCGATATTAGTCAAGTCAATAATAAGGGTAATGTTCGCTTGTGTGTTGCCGACCGATAGATGGAAGTATATGTTGACATGATAATGCCACTTGATTAATATAACGATTACTCACGCAGTAGATAATGTGGTAGAGGTTATAGGTATACGAGGCAAATACGAGCTATAGGAGTAGGTAAAATAAATAATATTAAATCACGTAGTTCTTTTTGTCGTATAGGTATATTAGTGAACGGAATTACGTATATGGTTTTATGTCTATTTAAATACCGGGTTTTGCAGTAAACCCAACCATCTTAAAATAAAACAACTATTTTTCTTTGGTTTGTGGTTGAACCGTTTTATTGAACTAATGCCTTTCTTAAGGTCCCTGAGAAAAGTAAGACCCGCAATAAATCTATTTCCGGAATAGGCATGGTTAAAAGACCAATAAGAAACGGTATATCGTTTTTTTAACATTAAAAGAATTTTATTTACTGGAGAAAGATACTGACGCAGTAAGCAGCACAGATGCTTCCCATGTTCAAAAAAATTTTTAGATCTGTACCATAAAAACATGCAATATGAAGAACAAAAAGAATGTTCATCATATGTCCAAGTATCGCACATCTCAAACATAAGATTTAATAAATCTTGTTATTGTAATAACTATGCGTGTATGTTTCGTGTTGAGTGGGTGTCATTATTGCTGGCGGAATCTCTATTGTCTGGTCATTAGGTACCGCCGCATAAACGTCCCCTCTTAATCTAGCGGTGTATCATATTTTAGCTAGAAAGAGGTCATGCATGAAACGTAATATGCGGAAATAAATCAGATATGTTCGGCCACTAATATATGTCGAGAAATATGGTGAACAATTCACTATTTTATATTATTTACAACAGTAGCAAAATTTCTTTGAATGTATGCAAGAGAATGTAGGCACCGTAGCAGTCTATCGATAGACTGGAAAAATCCCGATCTGTTTACATGCCGGAATAGGCGGGCCCTCCTGGACCCTCCGGCGCAACCCAGTTGATGTTTTGCGATGGATCTTTGATGTCGCATGTCTTGCAATGGATGCAATTCTGCGCATTAATCTGCAGTCTCATATTGCCATCCTCCAACGGGACAAACTCGTAAACGCCTGTAATAGACATTTTACATGTGCAGCAATGGCAATCGTCATTAACGTTTGGCTTGCAATAGTCTAGGTTGCTAAACACGTGATTCAATTATAGGAAATGTAAAATTAATTCTTACCGGCAGGGCAAAACCTCTGCTCGGGCCCGTCAAAGATTTTGAGATTTCTTTCAACCGGAACAGTGTCGTCCTTAAGCGTCAAATGTGCTGGTTGATTGTCTTCGTGATTCGTGCCAGTCAACGCTACTGAAGAAAGTAAATCAAACGAGAGTACTCCGTCTGGTTTCGGGTACTCGATCGGCGTACACTCTTTAGCTGGCTTCAAACGTTCGCTATCCTTGCCTATTAGAGGAACGATAAATTTATTAAAAAACGCTATAAAAATAAGCGTTATGGTCGAAATTTACACGAACATTTTATATCTAATATAGCTTATAACGTTGCTCCACTCAGCCCACGTGGGTTATATTGAATTACGTTGTATATGCTTAAGTTTCGCTCAGTTATTTTTTCTATATCCTTGGCCTTCTGCTAAAAGTATTTAGAAGGAGAGTTGACTAAAACAACATATGACTTCTTGTTCCTAACGTCTAAGTTTTTACCTCCATGTTTTAATGTCCATGGCTCGATGCCCCTACCAAGCCAGTAGAATATACCCGTATAGATCATTGTGCCGTATAGGCCAAGTGGACTATGGAAAGACGGTCGGATGTTGCGCACTGACTTCAACTCTTTATATATGGAGCTGCTTTTTATCGCTTCTTCGTAGTTCTCCGGAGTAACAATCTCCGAATCTGACGCGAACAATTTTTCTGTAATTGAGTCAGCTGCAATAATGCCACTTTTCATCGCATTATGTGTACCCTGGAATGAACAGCAAATAACAACAAAACGGATATGGCAATCTATTATGTAATGCCATATTTATAAGGTAGGGGGCTATTCTTCACCATACATAAGATGTGATATCCATAGAAGACAATAAACAATTTCCTTGTTCACAACCAAGATATTTCATAAATGCTGCTTTGTTACCAGCATGTCATTTTATTGGAGACGGTCGAAGAGTGTATTCCTTAGACTTTTTTTTTAGCGAACCTTAATTTTGGGCACATTCATGAAGCCTGGTGAGCAACCAATTAGACATCCTCCGGGGAAATAGAGTTTGGGAATGCATTGAAAGCCACCTTCGTTTAGAGCGCGAGCGCCATAAGCAATACGAGATCCGCCTTTAAGGGTTTCAGCGAATACTGGATGATGCTTCATTCGTTGAAATTCTCTAAAAAAACAAACGTGCAAATTATGAATGTATGGAGTTTGAAAACACAGTGAAAACTTGTCAGACGCAAATTTGAACTTGAAATTTCATCTATACATATTTATGATGCAAGTTCAAATTGGTGTGATCGCAGAGTAATGTACTAGAATGCAACTGGTTACCTATATGGAGAGATGTACGGATTCCTGTAATCCAAACCCACAACCAGTCCTATTGCAACCAGAGGTCCTTCGTCAATGTGATACATGAAAGCACCTCCATATGTTGCTCTATCTAGCGGCCAACCTACAGAGTGAATCTGAAAACAACATAGCGGGATTTATTCTGAGCATGCCTAAGTTCTCCTAACATGCTGCGTAATATTACTGCAGACATACGCGCAAAAAAATCAACTCAGCTTGTTCGATAGATCCGAATAGTTTCCCAATGTAAAGCAAGCATTATTTGCGCATTTTATTTACAAGCGAAAAAGACTATATAGGCATCTTGTATAATATTTTTTCTCACGGTCGATCTGAATATAATGATATTAGTACAAACGTTTTTACCCTTACCACTCGGCCGGGATGATGCTGCTGTGGATCGATTTCCCAGAGCTCCTTTAGGCCAATACCATATGTTTGGGGTTCACAGGTCATTCGAAGGTTGAATTTGCTGTAGAGCTGTTTAGAAATATGGCCATGGCAGCCTTCCGCGATAATTGTGCAGCGAGCGTTTAATTCCATGCCACGTTCAAAGTTATCCTTATTTAAGGCAAATAAATGCAGTTAATGTCAAATGTAATTTATAAAACAAAATGGTTCCGGTCGAAATTATTGCTTTTTAACTATAGACTTTGCTTTTATAGACGAGCTGTCTATTTTTATCGTTAACGGCATCACTATTTCTATAAAGAATTGAGTCTAGCAGCTTTTCAGAGAATTTCTTGGAGTATTAACATGTATTTTGTTTTCTAAAATAAAATATGCACTTTATTTTCGTATGCAGAAAATGAGGGTGCATCAAGGTAGTTACTAGAAAGCAAAGTTTTGACAAAAGCTAATGGTATCATAAACCTTCGGTGAGCCATCCTTCGCAATGCCAACGTCGCCAGTCGCCACGCCTCGAACCTGACCCTTCTTGTTGTAAAGCACTTCCGATGCAGGTATTCCTGAATAGATCTCTACGCCGAGTTGTTCAGCTTGCTCACCAAGCCATGAGACCACGTTCCCCAAGCGAACAATGTAGTTTCCATGATTGTTCATAGGTAAACCCGGAAAAATTGGAATCCGAATTTTAGTAGAAGCGCTACGCAAAAGATAGAAGAAATCTTCTTTGACAGGCGTCTTTAGCGGGGTCTGTTCGAACAAGAATAAACATTAGCCTTGGGCAGACATTCTCGAAGTTAAAACCTATAAGGATAAACTATACTCAACCTCACAATCTATTAGGACCTGTCTAGGATCTATTAGGATCATGTGATAGACAGGCGGGGACAGAATTTTACGATCTGAATGAACCGATTCAGTATCCATAGAGCCACGCAATCTCACGGATGCATTGCATGTATTATATAGTATGAAGATAAAATTTTCCGGTTACTGACGTCAAGTTCTTTCCAATTCGGAAAGAGCTCTGCCAAAGGTCCGGTCTCGATGCATGCTCCTGAAAGCGTATGTCCACCAATCTGAGATGCTTTCTCAATAACGCATACTCGAAGTTCCTTTCCAGCTTTCGCTGCGTTCTGTGAATTATTCATAAAAAAAACAAACACACAACACTATTAAAAAAAATGGCAAAATCGTATATACTGACAGTGGATATCTTCGTGTTGTCAGGTCCTTCAATAGATATAAAAGTATTAGGCATGTTATTATATTTTGCCATATAGCGAAAGCTATCCACCAACTGTTCTTTTACTCAGATCGAATAGTGTGAGTTCTATCATCGCGCATCTATTACATGTGCTCTAATTAAAAAGGCGCTCGTTTACAAATCGTGGATTGCGTTATCTCAGGAAGCGCTACATGGGCGCAGTGACTGAATGGTATTTAAAATTTCGGATCTGTGCCAGTTCAACTGTCAGGCTAAAAGTTGGGTTATTTTCCACACAATCATTGGATCTGTAGGTGCTAACCAACCATTCGGTAGATTAAACAGTTGTAATTTGAACGTGGAAATGTTATACTTAAAATGATGGGCGCTAGTATACTGTTGCTACAAGGGATTCACTGACCTGTTTAAGACGGATGGCAGATGAAAGTCCCGCAGGTCCTCCGCCCACGATAACGACATCGACGTCGTCGGAAGCTCGTTCCATGTTTATATCTAATAGGTCCACGCATATTATTAAAGAAACAATTATGTCTTTTAAAGGACATATGGCCTTATATACCCCAAACTTAAGCTTACATTATGTCATGAGCTCCATTAGATGCTAAATGTTTAAACTCTGTCATAGACAGACATGTATACCTTATAATACATGTCTGTCTATGACAGATGATATAATATAATAATAATAATAAATAATAATAACAGACATAAGAGCCACCACATTAAAAGTGTCATCCTTGTGCTGCTATCCATTTAATCGGACTGACCCTTCCATCGTGGATCCTTGTTACGCGGATATATGGTGTAGTGAGTGGTGATCTTTGGGTGGTTTGCGAATCCGCGGTAAGCGGTACTTGTAGCCCTCTTGGAGTGAATCCAGGCTGAAAAAAACGCAGACAAAAAAACCTTCAAAATTAAACCAAAATAATTAATAGACGGGAAGATACGAAGTATAACACTGCCAACTTCTAACCCTTGCTAGTTTATACAACTAACTATTGGAGCTATGATAGCAACTTCGTAGTACATCCCTGAAAAACGAAATAAAACTGTCTATCTAAGTTACTGTAGCCCGTAGACGTGAATGAGTACTTAAGACACTAAAAAAATATTCAGCTCGAAATCGAAAGCTCGATCATATATTTAGGTTAGATCCGCGCACCGAACTTTGCATAATGTTACACATTGTTTAAGAAAAAGGAAAGTATTGGCATACATTGCGAAATTTCTGAAAGAGACTAATCAATATAAACGTATATTAGCTACATACATTTTCATTTTAGCCTATTTGGAAGATTAATAATCTGTCCCAATTAAATAAAGAAAAGTCAAGTCAAGTCAAGTCAAGTCGATAGAACACTTCATTATCCTATCATATAAAAATCTGTACTAATTTCGATTTTGCTACGTAGGTTAACTTGGTCTGTGCGAAAACTACAATGAAAATCCATCGCATCTAGAAGAATTTACTTTGATCTGTAAAGATTTTTTGAATCTTATTTTGAAACGATTTTAGAAGCTTAAGCTGCGAGCATTAAAAAGCAATTCTGACAAATTGAGTTATATTTTCCTAGCTTTGAATGGTAAAGTGTTACTAAAATGCCTATCAGGAAGTTACGAATCATAAAAAGTCCTATTGATGGATTGTAAACGCGGATAAGTACAAGTGCAGTAACATATTTTAAAACGTCAATGCTGCATAGTGGCAGCGTGCTTGTTTTCAAGAGTGCATGCGATACCAAAGAGCGCTGCCATACTTTGTCTTTGTGTTTAATCCTTGGTATGATACATCCACTTTAAAGTGTCATTAATACACAGGTTTGCGGACAATCAAAGGAATAAGGGAAATTGGTATTAGAGTTATTAAAAATCAATGAAAATGTAAACATAAATGTTAATATTATTTATACATGCCTGATTGACTGTTACTCTATCTATGGTACAATTCACTGCTAAGCAGTGCTACGACACGGCCGCCGGCCCTAAAACAACACAATATCGTAGAGCGGTTCAAATACATGCATGTTTACCTGCTTGTATGGTGTGTTACTCAGCCTATTGGATAATCACCCCCTAATAAGTACCAAAGAGCTGAACAGTTCGACTCTGCCACAATATTTGCTTAGAGGAAGGTCAGGAACGGTAGAAAACAAGTACAAGCGAAATGGCCCGCTGGATTTCTGCATTATTTTTTTTCAACCACCGATATTCCGACGGTAGCAACCAACTTGCAAAGAATAGTTACTAGCTAAATACTCGTATATGTTTGTAGGGTAGTAATTGACATTCATCTTGTTGGTCACTCGTTGATATTATTGTCTAATCGTTTGGTCGATCGTCTTCACGGTCTGTGAATACACTTTTAATCGGCCGTAAAAAGGATTCTTGACGCGGAGTTACTTAAGAGCAACGTTTCGAGCCGCAATAAGTCACGAGTTAAGTCAAATCACGCGCAGCGGACCATCGAACAGATCACGAAAAGAGAAAGATCTCGAAGGCATGACGGCGTCGATAGCTTTACGTCTGTCGCTTTATAACCATTTAACTATTGATGGCCCCTGCTCTATAAACACGAACGAATCTATAAGACTTGACCATAATTTTACTGTTATGATTCTGTTATTGACCACTGGCACTTCTATCGAATGAAAGGGAACGACCTGTGACTGTGGCTTATGGCAATACACACCCTTTTGTTTCATGGGAAAAAATGCCAGCGAAATCTGCTTCCTGATTTGTACTAAACAAATGTAGCCCGACTGTACGATGTTGCCAGTGAATCCCTTCTTCAACTTTTGCCGCTCTCAACTAGACCGCACATCCTGTTTTGACCTAACTTCGCCCCGAATTACAGTTAAGATGGCAGTGCTCGCAATTCTACTAGTTGTTTGTACCAAATATGGATCATTCTACGTCTGATCTACGTAAAGATAAAAAAACGTCGCTGTATGTCAACTGATACGAAGTCAAGAACGTTATCACCTTAGTGGTGTGGCTAGCTCGCCTTTCTGCTCGTTTTGCTTCCTAAGTACGCAGAGATGAAAACTGCTGTGAACAAAAAGTGCGGAATTTAGCTTGAACCTCATTTCTAACATTAACTGTTGTAGGATTTTAATCATCCATTATTTCCGTGATGAACTCTATCGCATGAACTTTTCCATCGTTAGCAACAATGACGATCGACCCGCCGACAAGCATATTCACCCGAGATCTGCGCAAGACTTGCCTCTCTTTAGTCAAGTGAGTTCTTCATCCTCTACTAATCTCTTGGTTCGGATCACGCGTACAGCTGATTAAAACATCTGTAGGAGACCAAAACACCGCAAGCGTCAGCTGTCTGACGAAGCCTGTGGCGGCTGTCTAACACTGTAATACGAAAAAATGCCGGTCTTTTGCTTCCGATTTACTATGGTTTCAACACAAATCCAGTGTCTCTCCTGTTTATTTACTGTTTTACAGAGTAGGCCTGTGGATAAATTATCTATTTCTTCAATAATATAGCATTCTGGTGTCTACTAGTATTTTTACCTATACATTCGGTGCAGCCGCACTTTGTCTTATGGCATAAACAATGTTTAAATAATAAAAAAAAAGTGTTCCATTGATCCTTTCCCAATAAACTAACTACTCTTAGTAACCCGGCGACCCATAACGCGGTTGACCACTTACTCAAAGAGGCAGTCGCTAGCCAAAGTTCACAGAAAAGTTCACTAGTGCTTTCTAACACATCTAACAGAGATGGCAGTGGAATTTGTTTTCAAAGGCTCGCCTCAAATTACATAAGTTGCCACGTTATTAATTGGTAATCTGATGCATTCAGTGCGATGCTCCCGAAGAAACATTCACCTTGACCTGATCCCAAACTTTTCGAAATATTCTTCATTTTCCCGCGGCGCAGCCGCTTCATAGCAAAAAAGCACAACCTTATCGTTAGCTACAGTTATTATAGTTCGAGCTCGCTAGCGTCGGCTCAAGAGTTAGACAAGTAGGAAAACAGTGGATTTGTCCATCACGACAGAAAACCACACTCACCGAATTCGCTGATAATTCGAAAACAATGAGACATGCTTCAGGTGCGCGTGACTCCCACTTTAAGAGAAAAACGCAGAACTAAACGCGACGATCTGTCTTAGTATGAGAGTGAAACTTATCTCCTTGTAACTGTAGCCGCCCGCGTCTTGCTGGTTACAGGCACGGCCACAAGTCAGGGCGAAAGAAAGCAAACAAAATGTTGACATACTTCCATATACACAGGGGCAATCTCTCTTAGCCTCCAAGAGACCATATGATTGCGACAAAAGCTTAACAACATTGGTAACGAGCCATTTAGCTTGTGGGCGTCTACATGCACAATATGGAAAGTCCTTGATTTTGATGTCTGACTCCCTATAGAACAGTAGTAACGGCGATAATAACTGTCGATGTCGATTAATGCTTCGATGTTCTGAGCAACCTGAGGTGTTCAACTTGCACGACAGCCTAGCCTATTGCCCTGCAATCAATGCAATTTTCCTGCTGCATGCGTACATTTAGCCCTGAATAATTAGATCTCCAACCTCTTACTCATTAGCACAATGTGTGCTCACTTGAATATGGGGCTAAGTCTAAAGCACCTTCTGCTACTCGTTACAATATTCGTGTGTTGTGTCTGCTTTGCCGGGGAAAAGCGGACGTCCAAATAAACAAGCAGTGGTTTGTACTTGAAGCAACATCTTATGTTTCAATCACATCAATGCACTAACGACATTAAACGCCGATTCACGCCCTATTATCTGTTAAAAATTGATCGGAAAAAAAACTGACGCCTATTACTACTAAGTGAATGAATTGAGGTACAACCTGTTCTGCCGTCACTCAGTGCTATACTTTAATTTCTCGGTACTGTTTTCTGCAAGGGCAAGGGGAGCAGTCGTCGCCGTCGTCTGCTGTTGGTTTGTCAGTCAGTCATCTGGCCTTGTGACCACACTAGTCCTTGTGTCCGTGCTAATGGTAACCTCTTACTACACTGAACTGTCAAACATTGGATAGGAAATCCGAAGTATTGCAACTGTGCCCACCTCGTGTGAGAGTGTGTTTGTTCATCAACATTTATGAGAATTATGTGCCTGCTAGGGTGAAGCCTAGGCGAGGGTTTCCCGAAGAACCTCTGTGGGGGACAGTCGAGGTAGAACAGTGGATGGTAAGCAACACATGCGAGGCTTTTTTCGTTCATCATATTGCAATAGAGAACCGAGAAAGAACGTGATTAGTCTGACGACGAAGTCGACAATAACAAAAACAAAGTCTAAGAGAACGCTAGAGCACCCGCCAAATGTAAACCTCCGCCTATTTTATCCTAGTGGGCGCTTATGAGCTTAACCAAAAAGAGAAAAAGTGGAACAGATTAAGATATCTGATTGGCGTTTGCCATCTTAATAATGTATAGATTCATTGGTAATTTGTCGGTACGAATATAGATGCTTTTAATGAGGCTTGTTGCCTAGCACATTTACGTAAAGACAAGCAACCCGTTTTTGTTTCGTATTAATGTTTGTTACTGTAAGTTTTTTCGGGTTTATTTCGTATGCCGGTGGGCCTGCCAAATATCCATGAGTTCACACGAAAGTTCTCATATTGCAGTTGAGTGCAGGAAAAAAATAGTGTACAATTTCTTGGACTTGATGTAAGTCGTTTGGTATAAGTAAGTACCGATATTCAGCTGCAATATAGAGTATGCGGTAGGGTGAACTTATGCGTGCATATTCACAAATGCATATCTTAATCGAGGAGTGCTTATTTCTAATTACTCCCATAGTCATTAATGAGAACATTTCTCACTCCTCTATTTATTAAATTTTATCGACATCTAACTCTGAACTGAATTCGGCTTGCCTACTTTTGCTAACTAGAATGATGTACATCAACCTATCAAAAACACTATTTTTTTGAGACATTGATAGTGTTAGTTTTTACAAGCGGTGTGTTTTTTCGCGGTGTCTGGATTTTACATATAAATGAACTATCACCCCCTTGACTTTCTTTGTGGTTTGTAGTAATCTTATATTGTCTATTCTAGTAAATAAACTCACCAGACAAGTAGTCAACCATTTTCTAGGCTCCATTGAGGCTTTTTCATATAACTCTGTTAATCATCTTCTTTGCTACTTCTGTCGAAACTAGACTTTTGACAACAATCGTGTTGCCAAATAAAGTCAAGTATTTTTTTATTTTGTCTTCCGGGACACAACCTTGTGAAAGGACGAAAGTAAATGAATCAAAAAATATCAGAACACTTTTTGTTGGTGAGATGAAATTTACAAATGCTTTTTGTCATCTTATTTAAAACAAATACCAATATTGAGCTGCATCACATAAATAAATTGTCTACGAGGCTACTATAGTTATTTCAAAGGAAAGGGGAGAAACGTAAACCAGACAATCTAACCATCGTTAACCTCGTACCTCCAGAGTTGCCGTTTAAGGCTGCAATTGAACGTTCTGATGTTAGAGCTCGTTGAACATTCTGCCCTTGTGGTTCATATATTTGGAATGTGTTATTATCGAATTAGAAGTGTCTGACGTAGGACTCTTGCTGTTTTACAGGTTTAGATTACAACGCCCGCATCTGAAAAGTGCGCAGAATACCCTGAAAGATATGTTCTGATTGCACACTGGAGTATTAGACAATCTCATCACAGACTTACATTACAGACGCTAATACTTTCTTTCTATTTAAATTACCTCTTTGTATAGGGCTGTTCTTAACCTTAATCATTGACTGGGTAATCATATATGCAAATTATTATTATCAGCTCAAGATCTGAGATAACTAAATATTTAACCCTTTAGAGGGTGTCTACACAGTAAAATTGTATAGCTTAACACCTGAAATTAATAATTTCAGGTGTTAAGCTATAAAATAGATATATCACTGCCTAGAAGTAACAATGCATATAACTGGCTAGTCAGCCCCCCGCTGAGGTTTTGCAAAAGATATAATTCTAAACTAAAACGTCACAGTAATGTCTTCTTAAACAAAAGTTATTTCCACAAAACACAGCATTTGTTAAATAATGACCACGGTTCTTTATGCGGATACATGCAGCTACAAGTAAAATACAAAGCGCCAATATACAACGTAGTATGTACGACTGGGTATAATGCATGGCGCTTTTTTAAGTTACGCTTTTCACAGCAAGACCAGTTGCCTTTGTTGAGGGGGATTTGTCAGAAAAACTCTGGTTTAGCGACAACTATATTTATGGCAATGAAAAACATTTTAAGAGAATACAACGGTGTTAGGTAGGTCCGTAAAAATCTAGTTGGGGCACGCGCTCTAAAACGGCCGATTATTCTTAACTTTAGTTCGATCCTTTCCAGTACTCTTATAACGCCTTAAAGAACGGAGAACGTCCCAAGTCTACGTATTAGGGATGGTCACATTTCGATGGTTAAACTTGTAATTAAAGAAATTCCAATTTCGAATGTAGCAAGAGTATAAATATAAACTTGTTCTTATGGTCATCACAATAAATAGATTAATTTTAAGACAGTGCAGGATAGAAAAGTCAAACTAAAAGCTACAGGTATGACGTAGTCTGGTGCCAGCGATCTCCAAGTGTCGGAGGAAAACAGTAACAGGAATAAGCCTTTGCTGTTTGGACAAACCGTAGCACGCTTCGTTCTAAAAATATATTTTTGCCTAAATATGGTAAAAAATATAAATATGGATTCATACCTGGCCACTTCTACGTGTGGTGCGCGTAATATCGTTTCCTGAAAGCACCCATACACGACTTATTTACATATTACTGTGAGTATTATTATTTGTAGGATCTAGGAATCTGTATACTTACGACGGTAAGAATGTCAATGAAAAATTTATATTTGTATCTGCCATAGCGGATGCCCGAGAGAGACTTCACTTCGTTTGTCAAACAGAAAAGTATATGAAATATCGAAAAACTGCAAGTAAATCCCATGCCTCAACAATGAATAGCAGAGGAACAGATACAGTTGCAATTGCGATCGAGGAAGCTTACAACGTATCCCAACCAACTGTAATATTTGTATATCCTACCTATTTTGATGTGTCGTTTTTGCCAATTGAAGACTCAAGTTTCAAATGAATTATATAAATGAATTCAAAAAATTACATAAATGTGCTTCTGCTTATCTTGAAGGCTCGTCACATTGCCTTGATTGATCGAGCTCAAAATTACACTCGAAATTATAAAGTATCTTGTGTATATACGGAGGCAAGTAAAAGATCTTAAGTTTGTGAGAAGTAACACACTTGATATATTCAACAGATGCCAGCTACTTGTTACTATACTGATTCGGACATGTCTTACCTTAACGCGTATCAGAAACAAACGCGTCTTGTAGACACTAATTAAGCTGAATTTCGTGATCCTCTGGTATAAATTGCTTAAGTTGCTGTCATATGGGAAATCCTAATAAATAGTACAATTTGCCCTTTTTTTTTTTACTATTGTCGGCAATATGTGAAGTGCTGGCCAATGTGGCAGGCGTGCCTGTGTAACTTCTAAAAACGAGTAATGGTAATCATAATGGAATACAGCCGTAGTTAATATTGAATCCGTAAACGAGCTTTTTGTTAATACTATAGCAACCTCTATATAGATTTGACTGTGATAACATTTAATTCGAAAGAAGCATCTGTTTGTCTATTCCAGACCTTTATATCTGCTAATTTTCGAGTTATCATTTGTGTTTCGAACACGAATAAATTCATTGCAGCAGCAACCGCGATGACAATATCAAACTCATTGTATATGAATCAATGGTATTATGATCGATTGACTATTCAGCTATCAGAAACGTCTACGCAATCGATAGCTACTACTTAATCGCGGTATCGCCTGCAATGGCAACCTTTTCTATTCCTTCTACAGTAATTTTTTATCTACTTGGTAGCGTTTCTCGAAAATATTCAAGAAAATATTACTGATTATGTGAAGGATTTTTGTGTCGACAGTGGGCTATATCGCTGTGGCAGTAGTTAGGTGTTGGGTTGTTACACACTTTGTACAATGTAGTAGGTTGACGTATCTAAGCTAATGGCAAATACATTCGTTTAGATTTTTCGTAGCCATCAGTACAGCGTTACGTGGTGTCAGCCATGTCAAAGCGAAAGCAATATATATGGAAATCAAGACCCATATTAGTTACGTTCACGCCCCATTAAAGCAAAAAGAAAAACAACTGAAGCAAATTGCGGTTTTTAAGTATAGGTAGCATAGGGAAAACCATGTTTACTGATAGCATAATTGTGATGCATACATTTTTGCACAAGGTACTTGTTAAGGGTCTGAAGAACGAGGCCTTCTAGAACAAAGCCTGTTCTTAAGCTGTTTGTATGCTGACTAATTAATAGACATACTAGTTTTAACCTCATTTTTATATATTTAACTAAGTTTCAGAGCATGACAAACAAAATCTGCGATGTGTAGTTTAGATAATGGTTAATATCTAATTAACATTCTTCAGCTGCTGATGATTGCTTGGCAATGCTGAAACGGGCAAGATAACGGATTACAAGAGTCTCTCCATAGGGTTACTTCAATAGAATGACGCATGCTGTAATAAAGGGTTTTCTAGAAAAAAAAATTCGGTCTGTAAACTATAATCTAAAAGGCGAAACGGAACGGCATGGACGACGACTTTTGTGTGTCCCTTACATATAAAAACCAGTATTGAATTGTTCGCTTGAAGGCAAAAATTAACATGAATATATTTGTATGGCTTCTCTCATCTCCTGCAGGCTGTTGTCAAAGGCGCAGCCTTCGTCGCGTGGCCGCACGAAGGCCGCCAGACAGCCAGTAAAGTCTATGGGCGAGCTGCCTATCGACGAGCGAACACGAAGGGGCTGCGCTGTACCAGAAGTGCACTCCATTCATTCAGCCTTGACGACGTGCAGTGAACACTCACCCATCTTGAAAGTCCTCACTGCTACGAGCGGAGGCAGCGCCGCCTATCGGAAGGATGAAAGGGTCGCTTTACTGAGTACCGTGAGTTTTCCATAGAGTTCATGGTAATAAAGACGGCAATTACTGTTAACTCCCTGCGATGTTTGTCGACTATTAACCTAAATATATCAGAATATACTTTTTGACTGTTTCAGATTTTCGGCTTTTATACTTTTACGGTGAATCCGTTATTTAGCGAGTAGAAATATAGCTTACTCACTAGCGACTCGAAGAAATAATGGTGTTGGTATACTGTATCTCCATTTTTGAACTTAGTTCATAGTAAGTTCTTACTAATAATTACTTAATAGGTCCCTACAAAATTTTTGATACTGTATTTAAGAGCATGATCTCTTTCAATATAGAGAATTCCTAATAGCAAGAAGTCTCCATAGTAAAATTCTCTGTAAACGTGAAACGATTATATAAACGGTAAATTCTATTTTATTCATTTCATTAGATTTCATTTATTAGATTATCCAAGGATCTAACTGTTTCAGTTGTTAACGTTAGAAATGTGACATGTCAAGTCGCAAGAAGACATTTTGTCAATGCGCTTCATCAGCGTTTAGGCGGATTTACTTGGTATATTTGTAGGATAATAACAGATATGCCCGATTGATAAAATAGGCAATGGAACTTTTATCACTAATCATGCAGCATATGATTGGCCAAGCCTCCGCATTTAATCCGTATATCGGTTACACACTAAGCCAGATAGGACCAAATAAGTAGCTAATATTTTGCAACTATTGCGCATCAACGGGCCCGCAGCGTAGACCTGTGGTTAGATTCCCAAGGAACAAAACTAACATTTCGTATTGCTGGCATATTCCATTATGATGGGCCGATTATAAAGGTAAGCCTGTGTACTTCCATTATATCCGCACTGGTGCACTTGTAGGGGGTCCTCTTGTGAACAAAGTCCATTATCAGTTATAGCAGGCTGGAACAATTTTTTTTTATCAACCACTTGAATCAGGCTTGCCATCTGTACTTAGTTTTATACGATATCCAACCCTTTTAAATCGACGATGTCTTCGGCAAGGGAATGTGTCGTTCTTTTAAATAAAATTATGCAAAAGCATTCCAAGGTTTGTCACTATAAACTAACACTGCTAATCTCTTATGCTTAGTAATAATAATGGTAATGCAATAAGGTGATGGGCTGTAATGTATCTTAACGCCATACACAACCTTTAAATATAGCATTAACGGTATCACAAATACAAGGTAAGAGCATGTGTACGTGTGAAATTTTGATTTCAAACCTAAAAAAGGTACTTTTGATTAAAATCACATACATTTAATTAGCATTGTCTGTGAAACGTCGCTCCTTGGCTATAAGCTAATGGATTATCAAAAAATAGAAAAATGAGAAAATGTTGATTAATAAATCCACATATAGAGTAGCTGAAGGTTAGCTTGAAGTCATACTTCATTGATATTTTCTTGACCCAGAAGCACCATCTTTTGGCGCAGGACCGGGGGGAGTCAACTGGCGAGGACTACCAGGACATTGTTCGTCAGGAGCGACGTCGTCGGGAGTTGCAAAAACTTCGGGCAAAGGTACGGGCTGCGCAGGGCCGCTGGGAGATTCAAACAAATCCCCTTGACGTCGACTCTGATCAAGAGATCGACGAAATGCTCGATATCTCACACCAGCGGACAATCGGAGGTAAGTGAAATGAAACTAGGAAGAGCGATCATTTCTTGTATCTATTATAGACATGCAGGTACCTCTCTAGCTCCGTATTTTTTGTGCATAGGCAACATAAAACGTTTTATTTTCTTCGAAATCTTTACAATGGAATCATTTGAAAAATATGAGGAACACCAGTAGGGCATAACGAAATGGATTATGATATTTCGACATCGCTGTTGTTGTTACAATTTTCGCACGCTACTAGCTGGACCATCAAGTCAAGGATTGATAGAACAGCAACAAGATCAACTTCAACAGCAGGCGGCCATCTTTGAATATCGTGGTAGGTTGGTCACGTTGCGACTGACTTTGAACAACAGCAAGATGTCATGAAAGGATAAAAGTCCCCACCTTGAAAAATTAATTCGAATTGCTGATTTATATAAGTTGACTGGGCACGGTACTGCCCCATTCCTTTTTTTATAATGATGCATTTAGCTGGCGGGCATTCTATCGACGTGACACGCGCATAATTCGTTCTGGTTTATTATAAAGGTACGGGAAATGCTTTGGACAGAATCGAGGTTCTTTCGAAACATAGATTCGGTAACGAATATTTTATGGGTGATTATTTTATGAGTCATTTATGTAATGAAAATAGATGACCTTATAATAATCAATTCAATTGCGTCTTGCTTGCTCCACTGTTTGACAACGTATGGGCGGACTGTTTTGCCACTCAACTGAATGTCGTCCGAAATTCGAGCCTGTGTCCCAGAAGGTGCGATTTACTATCTTTCTTCTGTTCGATTCAGATATATGAACCTTTGAGATTAACGTGTAGGCACTTGCTCCCTTTATTCCAAGCACCCGTATGGTGCGCCAGGCCTTTTTCAATTCCTTTAACGTTTTAGATCTCTTACGTAATGTTACTCCTATATCTAGATCTAGCCCTAAGCATGTATTAGTTTTCCACTATTTCTTCTGGTCACCGAAATATTGAAGCGTTTTATTATTTCGCTTGAGGGAACCTATTATCTGTGTCCCAGCTACCGCTAATCAGGTGACAATTAAATATCATATCGGATAATTATAAGCTTCCCAATAACAGGATTTAAATGATTGCCTTTTTACGCAACAATTTTACGCTTTGCATAGATGAGTAATTGTTCCCTGAAACTGCAAAGCCATCGGCGTCTGCTTAAACTTTGTTTTTCGTAGAAGCTAGAGCTTACCGAGACAACACAAGCGGTTGCGTGAACGCAAACAGGATTAAGCAGTAACAGCATTATTGTCAGCTATTAAACACCGAAGCGCGTACTAGCGTATGGCTATACGCCAGTGGTGATCTTACGAAACGACCAGTTGATAAGAATAAATAAAATGTCATTCGTTGACTGCCGATGCGGCGGCGGCGGCGGCATCATCTTCTTGACATAGTAACGGGCATCTGCGTATCTCTTCATTTCACCTTGCTAAATGCTATACATTTTGAGGGAAAACGATTTATATCTGGTGAATAATGATGAGAGTATACAATTAAATATTTCGAAGCTCTAATCTCAGCTGGTCTTTGGACCGTGTGCTCTTAGCTTGTCGTTGCTGTAACGGTTATGGTAGAAAATGAAATTCACTTGATTCAGGCTTGTGCTTGATTTAATTTCATCTCTTTCGTTCTTACTGATTCTGACGATTAGCAACAACGTGTCGAAACCATTCACTGACACCATTGGTCATCCGCCATTATCTTTGCATTACATCGTAGTTCAGTGTTACCGCTCGAGCTTGTGCCAATAGATCCGAATTTAACATCGTAACTATAGGACAGGAAGGTACGGCAGCGGAGAAAATCGTGGCGCCTGTCTACGTGGTTCGAATAGTTGCTGTGGATATACTTTCCGTTGAGAGGGAATCGAAAAGAGATCTCGATCGCAAAAGTAATGAAACGCCCCCGCCCGCTCGGAGCTGACGGTTAGCTCGTCAGAGAAGGAATGGTGGCTTGACCGTTTCCGTTGACCGAATGTTCCTTCTTGGCGCTCTTACGTGTACAAGATTGGCCCCACTAAGCCAGTAGTAGAGGACGTGCCTTCTTTGTATAGTCATGGCTAAAAAGTAACGAATGATAGCTCGGAAGAGCAACACAGGACTTCATCTACAATTACGAGAACATGACGGATAATTATGATCGAACACGGTCAGACAGTATCGTGCTGTCCGAAGAAATAAGGTTATTTGAATGTGAGTTTGTTTCGTTTCCTACCTAAACCTTGTCGAAGACAGTGATGCGTGATACAAAGACTATGATTGAGCGGTGCTTTTTGTTTAGTTTGGATGGTAAATAGTCAAAGCACGATAACACTAAAGCAACTGTTTTACCTAGATACACGGATATGGCTAAGGTTTTCACCGGCTTGGGATGGGGTCCTGCATCTAAAATGAGGAAACGAATAATCGTCTTAATAGTCGCGCTGCTTGTTTAACACTAACCAACAAAACTCCGTGGGCGCGGATAGCGTACTAGAAAAAGTGATTCTATTTGAAGACACGTTTTACCACAGCTGGACATGGCGAAGAAATCTGGAACTGAAAGGGACCATTTTTTTAAAGAGTTATGGAAATAATTGGCACGAGTATATCGATCGTTCTTTTTTGGTCATAAGATGAGATGAAATGTATTAACGCACACGCGAATGGAGCATGAGGCTAGCAAAGTACTCATCAACACGTCCTGCCCATTATAATCGTTTTGCTCCATAAAAAATCCTTGATGACGGCTGTAGCTGCAAAACACATATTACTAATATACCATATAGTATTTACTGTTCCATTATTGCGTGCTCAAAATACGTCGTCATGCCAGCTGCGTACACTTCTCGGTTTAAGGAACAGTTATAAGCTTCAGTTACTGCACTTGTTAACGACTGAACTTAAGAAGATATTTATTGCGCATACAGCAAAAGCTAATCTTATCGACAGGTCCTTAAGATGGGATCCTGGAACTTAGCAAGCCACTGTTAAGCATCATTTCCAGCAATACAATCTCTATAGAGATAGCTTTTCTATGGTATCTAACTAGTAGAAAAGGAAAGCAATAGTGAAGAAGCGACCACTACTAATATAGTTTAATATTTTACATCCTATAGAAAGCGCATTGAATGTGTCATATATTTAACGTTCTTAAGTATACGATACTGATATCATGCGGACACCAGAGAGCTTTCGAAGGTACCCAACAAAAATCATTCTTTTATACACTTAAACAAATACTACCAAGAAACAGCTGAAGCTGACTAAAGAACGTCACTTTGATTCTGATGCATGTGATTTAATACTAACTGGTAGCGTGAACCTTTGTGCCTGTGGAATTTTAGAATAATTTATAAAAATTTCGATTAACAAGTTGACATCAGCATTGTTGTATATGATCAAAGTTTCAAAATCTAGACTTCTTAAATCTATAATCTAAAAAAGATCATTCTTCGAATGCAAGGGCACTTGAATCGTACTCTGCTTCAGTGTTCTCCAAGATTTTGCACGGTCTGCTACAAACGGACTTTACAATACAACGCGTTCGGGAGGGGCTCACATCCTTTGAAGTACCGTTACATCTATTGCCTGGCAGTCCAGTAGTAAACGTCGGCTGAGGGCTGCTTGCAGTACGTTACTTAGTTTTTATTTACCAGGAAAGCTTATTGCTGTTGTAATTGCTTTTATCTGGTTTTACTCAGCGAATCAAAAAAAAAACTTTTTTTTTTTTCTAAAAATGTTAAAAAACGAAGTTTGTAGAACAGTTACCCATTGCAATAGATGCTGAAGTGCGACTAATTTATGTTTAAACCTGCCACGCACAAATTAACACGTCTTTGTATTCTGGGCTCTACCTGAGCACTGTTTATAGTAAACGTAAATTATAGCAGCAACTGGAAATTAATGGTACAACATTGGTATACACATAGCACTTGGTGTCAATAGATTATTTGATTTGTTCTTTTTTGTCCTTTGTAAACATTTAGTTCCTACTACTATTATTATTGTTATTGCTAGTATTATTGCAAAGTTCGATAAATGAATACGTCAACCGCATATCATGCATTCTGTGGAATATTCCAGCTTCTCCCGGCGATGAGGACACGCCGCTTCATGGAACCGGCCAATATGAAGACTTCCACACCATCGACTGGCAAAGAGACATTGCCAGAGATCGCATGCGGCACAGGTGCAATTTACTTCACACAATCCCAATTGCAAACTGCATAATTGTGAAGGCTCAAAATAGCGATTTATACAATGATCACAGTAGAATAGCAGGCACATCAAATGTCCTGTGGTTAACAAAGTATTATCTAGGCATAAAAGAAACGTGAGCGTGAATAAATCTAAAAAAGTAGAAATCTCGCTGACAGCGAGTGAATGTCTGTGTGGGGCATATTTGTCGCATATAAAACTAATCTGTGGCCGAGCATCGAGCGTAATTTGTCCGGATGTTCAGCAATCTGATTGACGACTTCGGTAAAGTGAAGAAGAGACACGCTACCTTGAGTAAAGGTCGTCGTGCTTGAAAACAATAAAAACTAATCTAAAGAGCGGGCGTAACAATAGCTATTGATTACTTAACGGTCATTACTAGCTTTAAAGCAGAATTATTTTTTGGCTAATGCGTAAAAATGTAAACATGTTTAGCTTATGTTTAGTATTTGAGGTGGTGCCTGCAGTGCAAATCAGCGGTTTGTTTTAAATATCCATCGGAGTCGAGACTTAATTGGCCGGCTGGCTGGCTGGTTGGCTAGCTAGCTAACTTGAGAAGATCAATTAAATAGGTAAAAAAAAGATATATTTAAAGGAACTTGAAAGAGGAATATAAAAAAGAAAGATATTAAAGGATCTCTGTCTATTTTATTGCTAACGTACAGGAATGTTATGAAAAAACGTGGCGATGGTATATGGAATCTGTTATGTGGTATCCAGGACGCTTGGTCAGGATGGTTGTGTGTCCTACTAGTTGGTATTGCCGCAGGAAGCATCGCTGCCGTAATCGATATTGGTAATCATCGTAATGACGCTTTAGCATTTGATACGATTTATCGAGAAGAGTTTGCAGTCATAAATCAGTAATATTCCAAACCGTATCTGAAATACGTCGGAAAAGCAAACGTCATTTTTCTATCCAGTTATGCCAAACCGGATTTTGCGAAGCAACGTTTAAAAGCATTGATAAGAGCATGCTTTTTTCTAATATATTTAATCATATTTAGGAGCCGCATGGATGAAAGATCTCCGGGAGGGCATCTGTCCACAAGCGTTCTGGCTCAATAGAGAACACTGCTGTTGGGCCAACGAAGCATCATTCGAGGGGGTGCCATGCAATCAGGTCAGTAAGCACCAAGTAGGGAGATTCGTTCGCACTAAACTGTTGATACTCTGATCGATGTCACAATTAATAATCACGCACTTTGACAGTAGTTACTACCATACATGAGTATCACTTTTTCCGGAATTTAGAACAAAATTCGGGTCAGATTTGTCAAGTTTGCCTGGCTAACAGCATCTAGGCACCCGTATTACTCTAGAATCGCCATTAAAAGCCATTCATGTAGGACAAAAAAGCACAACGTCGTTCACGATTCGAACGTGTCGAAACAGTAAGTGTTGCCCACAGTGGGCTCTTGTGACCTTCTTTGCCTACGACATGAGAGTTTACCGAAGTCAAACACGTCTAATTTACATCACCCTGCTGCAGTAAGTCGGTGTATATACACTGATAAATTCTAGCGGCTAACTTAGATAATATTGATACATGCGACTTGATTATGAGTCTGTTTTTGCAGTCATTTTGTGATCTGCGTGATATATATCTATGCAATAATTATTAAGCGTGAAACACTGTTTATTCGATCATTCACACAACCCAGCTATGCGAGCCCACTTCCACACGCGTAGTCTCGCAGCGGCGCTTACGATGTAAGTAAAAACACCTATATCGCGACTGGTGTGAAGATAAATCTCATTAAATTGCAGTACTATCACAACACTTCGATTGATAACAGTTATCTGCAGGTTGTCATACGCCCAGAACGTAATGAAGATTACAAACGTTTATGAAAACATTCCCTATTTCATTTCAGCTTGCTTATACTGCTCAGTTGTGCACTCACGCAACCGTGTAATAAACAATACATATTCCAAACACTAATGCTACGAGCTCCGGGTTGGATTTTAACTTTGAGGTGTTCAGTCATAATCCATTAGATGATAGTTTAGTCCCTATGATTTTTCAATCAAATAGAATACCAATTGATTAAACCTACGGTTCCTTTCATCGTGAGCAGGATTGCCATCACCATAACAACTACGACCGGTAGGGTAAAACTAGTCTGTCTCACGGCGGTCTTTAATTTATCAGAGTGATAGCTACTAGCGTCACGTACTTCCTTTAAAATGTTTTAGTGACTCTCATAGATGTCGCCTAACTTAATTCAGAATATCCTTTCGTGTCAAAAAAAAAAACAACACATGAATCGGTTTATAAACATGTGATCATTCAGTGGCCACAGAGATTAATCGACTAATGATATTTCATCCCTTTCAGTGGTATAATTGGCCCGAAGTCTTCGGTTCGAATTTGTCCAGTGACAGTTACGGCTTCTCAGTTCTACAGTGCTTGTTCTACGTATTTTGGAGCGTGGCGTTCGCTGGCATTGCGGCGATGCTCGTACATACGTTCGCTCCTTACGCGTGCGGCTCAGGAATTCCGGAGATTAAGACGATCCTATCAGGCTTCATCATTCGCGGATACCTTGGAAAGTGGACGCTCATCATCAAATCGGTACGTCATCTCGCGGCAATGATTTGCTGTAAACAGGGATGGATGAGATAGAAGACTTACAGCTTGACGAAAAGAGAACGATTCGATATACAGCCAGGAAAAAGTAGGCGCAGTCCTTACACAATGAACAGTAGGCCTACTTCGACTGTATTGGAACTAATCTTCTTTTTGCCATTGATTCTCGGCCATCTTCAAAGAAGGAGAACTTCTAATATGGTGTGACCAAAATATTCTAGTAATAAGAACTCAACAGTTTATCAAACTATTTGATATAAGAAAGTCTACAATGTGGTAGGTTTCTCCGCGTACTACCAAAATAGGCGCCGCTGCAGGATGCACATTTTTAGAAATCAAGAAAAACAAGATGAGGGCCTACGTGCTTCAACGTCTGTCCTAATGCAGAATAACGAGTCATTAATCTATCAATCATATTTGACGTCTTTGTACTGTTAGGTTGGTCTTGTGCTGGCCGTATCCGCAGGTTTATCTTTGGGTAAAGAAGGTCCTTTGGTACATGTGGCCTGCTGTATCGGAAACATTCTCGCCTACGCCTTCCCAAAATATGGCCGCAACGAAGCCAAGAAAAGAGAAATCCTTTCAGCGGCATCGGCCGCTGGCGTGTCAGTCGCTTTCGGTGCACCCATCGGCGGCGTGCTGTTCTCCCTTGAAGAGGTTAGTACGGCACACGATAGAACAACAAGAGAACACTGAAAAGAAACGTCTGGGGGCAAGCGCCTGCTTCAAAGGTACTTGTAGCTTTTTGGCGATGGCAAACATAATCGTTTCTAGGAGCTGATGGCTTTATTCACATATGGCAGGTGTTTATCGATAGCCGAGAAAGCACTGAATTTATCACAAGAACGCTAAATTGTGATTTTGCCGCAATGTCACAGGTGTCTTATTACTTCCCCCTGAAGACACTCTGGCGTTCATTTTTCTGCGCCCTAGTCGCCGCGTCGGTACTTCGAAGCATTAATCCATTCGGAAATGACCACCTTGTTATGTTTTATGTAAAGGTAAGAAGAGCTCTGACCTACTCATTTATCTATAAAGATACTTTATTTGCAGCAGATTCTTGGTGATGGTCCCTTATGCCAGAAAGTAAGTGACTACGTGGCAAAGGTCGTGTGGGCGTAGATTAAGTACTAGAAATTTTGTAACTCTTTAGCAAGAATCGCTAGCCATGTTCTTGGAACTGCTGTGCGACTAGATTAAAGATAATTCAAGAATGGATAATAACCAGCATGTACATTAAAGTACATTTTTGCTAAGCTTATGATTTGGTGGCTTCCTGCTGATCTTACAGTACACAACACCATGGGCCTTTTTCGAAGTGGTCCCGTTTCTTCTTTTAGGCGTAATGGGGGGCGTGCTGGCAACCATCTTTATTCAGTGCAACCTCCGTTGGTGTCGTTTTCGAAAGACTTCTCAACTAGGCCAGTATCCTATCATAGAGGTGCGTTTCATCGTCTTTTCTAGTTGTACTATAGGTTTTAAGCTTCTCGGTAAAAAAAAAAAAGAGGAAGAAGGAATCTTAAAGGTACATGTTACGGTTCCAATTCTACGGTTCCAATACGGAACCAATTTGAAAAAAAAAAAAAAAAAAAAAAAAAAAAAAACAATCTAAGTGAGGTAATATATTTGCTTAGAATAATATTATGTTAGAAAAAGCAACGCTTTTACCACTATTGTGATGTGGTCATTTTCATCGTCAGGTTGTTGTGATAGCACTTGTGACGGCGTTGCTTAGCTATCCGAACGAGTTTACCCGCATGAATACCTCAGATCTCATAAAGGTTCTATTCTCACAGTGCGGCATCGGGGACGTCTCCCCGTTGTGGTAAGTTGTACATTGTAGTGCACTCATACATATTCGATATGCGATCTTATAAACGTGTGGCTGAAGCATATTGGAAAAGGCTGAGTTTCACAATCAGAGCATAAAGTTGCCACTGTTGTCTAACTAAACCCTCCCCTTTTTTTTTTTTTTACTGCATCACTGATTTCACTGCAATTATCATTGGTACGTGCAGTGATTATAAGCGAAATTTCACCAATGTAAACACGCCAATTGAAAGGGCAGAGGCTGGCCCACTTGTGTACGAGTCAATGTGGCGACTTGGGGCAGCGTTGGTCTTCAAAATGTTAATTACGATTTTTACCTTTGGAATCAAAATCCCTGCTGGCATTTTCATTCCCAGCCTTGCGTTCGGTAAGTTGAAACTTCACATATGTATGACTTCTCTAAACAATTGCGTATATATATATACTTATATAGACAATTTACATTAAACACGTGTAGTTTAAATTTTGGGGAATTTTACTTACCATTAATAACGATTTTCCATTCGATAAAATCGTGGAGATAGGATTAGCTGTTCAAGACCCACTTTCGTCCCCTACAGCAGCAAGTTATTCAACATACCAAGTTGTGAAACAAAGGGTCTTCCTTAGATAATTGCCGCTTAACGTGAGCCTGCTGTATGACAACGCTAGGTTTTATACGGTTTTTAGCTAGAGCGCACAATATTAAATAAACAAATGTTAATTGAAAGATGACACTCTATTCGGCTTTCGGCCTAGGTCTTAGTTTATTGTATTAGGATTCGTGCGGAACGATTTGGAAAACAAGCAATTTAAAACAAAGACATGAGTTTGAAAACGAATTGCCGAGAAGCCATCTAAAGGCTTTAAAGCTATTTAAAGTAACGAGCATTTTATTAGTAAAATAATAGCAGTACTTAAAACGAAAATTATTTATTGGCCCACCGAGCAGTAGGTCGACGGAGCCTGGGAAGTAGAAACTATGATCGTCTGTGTTTTTAGTTAACAAATCGTGTCGGACTTTCAGGTGCCATTACTGGTCGAATCGTAGGTGTTGCCATGGAGCAGATTGTTTTCTACAACCCCAATTTTTGGCTCTTTCATACAGCCTGCTCCACCGGCGAACAGTGCATCACCCCAGGACTCTATGCCATGGTGGGAGCAGCTGCTTGCCTCGGAGGGGTGACCCGGATGACAGGTACATTCCTAAATTGTCGGAATAACTAAATTGAAGACATTACGTTCTACGGTGTCAATATTCTTGGCCGATATTGTAGTTATACCAGTATGAATAGCTGCTTGAACGCCGGCTCGAGACAAGTATGAATGTGTTATTTCATCGATTTTCAGTGTCGTTGGTGGTTATTATGTTCGAATTGACTGGTTCGGTAAATTACATCGTGCCACTGATGACTTCGATTATGGCAGCTAAATGGGTGGCAGATGCATTAGGAAAGGAGGGTATCTATGACGCCCATATCAACCTCAACGGATATCCATTTCTTGACGTCAAAGAGGAATTTGAGCACACGACAATAGCTCAGGATGCGATGCAGCCCCGTCGGGGAGAAAATAAACTCACCTGCATTACGCAGGATGGGACCACCGTACAGGAAATCGGTAACCAATACGCTACAGCCTGATTATTCGTTATGTAGAACGATCTTATATTTAGATCCGGTAAGAGCTGTAATGGTGGAAAAAATTATAGAATGGATTTATGCACAGCATAACAACAACAACAACAACTTAAATTCACTAGTTGTTCGAGCAAACTTGGTTGTCTTAAGCTCTAATGTCGACCGTTATATTTAACTGTACAATCAATAATGTTGGCGAGGTCTCGCAAAAAAAATTATTTCGATTAGCTTGAACAGTGTAGAAATGACGGGCCTTCAATACGAATTTAAAATCGGTCTCTAAGATAATGGAAACGAAGATTACTTTTTAGCTAATGTGTCAGGTAGCGTTCCGATGTTTAGATCGAAACTTACGAGCCAAGATACTATGAGTTTCACAATTGCATTTTACCTAAATCATAATAACATCTGTGCCTGTATGAATTGGTCTAAATCATTCTCATTCTATCATTTTCAGAAGAACTCTTGAGAACAACAGGCCACAACGGTTTTCCTGTTGTCGTTTCTGACGATAATCCCTGTCTCGTTGGCTTTGTGCTCCGTAGAGATCTCAACATTGCTCTGGGTATTCTATGAGCTAGTTACTATTACTTCTCTTTGGTTGACTTCACTTATAGTAACTGGTTTGTTTTAGCTTCCAATTTACTCCAGCTTCCCATTAGACGTTTGTCGAACACTTTGCAATATAAACTGTGTTGCTTTTCGTTCTCCTGTTTCACGAAACCTATTCGTTCGGCTCGTTAGTTTGCATACTATAAACTACTATATAAACATGGTTTTGCTTTCCTTTCTGCAATTTTTCATCAGATCGGTGTTTCGTAGCTTCAAATATGACTATTGATCAAGGAAGACGATTTGATTCATTGCAGCTACGCTCTCGACACAAGACGGCGTAACATCGGGATCACGAGTCTTGTTCACGTCGGTAGCTCCGGTCCCGTGGAGTGGGCCGCCCCCGCTAAAGCTGACCCGCATACTCGATCTCGCTCCAGTAACTGTGACGGACCACACGCCTATGGAAACCGTTATTGACATGTTCAGGAAGCTCGGACTTCGACAGACACTAGTCACGCGCAACGGGTAACTACAACAGTTACACAAGCCAACAACCCTAAGTCTTTTTCTAAATGGGCTCATCAGTTGGGCTGTCCTGCACTTTTCCAGAGACCTTTAAAATAATAGTTTAATCGTTACGGTAGAGTAGGTCACTGTGCACATCAAATTTGACAAAATACCTTGGAATAAACAGCTGGATTTTTTACTACGCACTGTTTCTAAGAGACCTAGATGCGAAGCAGTTCCGAAGCAAAAATCTTGTAAAGAGGTACGCACTATCTGGAAACGGCCTATCAACAAAAGTACTACTGAAACATAAGGCGAAAAGTTAAAATAATGGACGCTCATGCGCATGTCGTATTTCTGTCATTACAGGAAGATACTTGGAATTATCACAAAGAAGGACGTGTTGCGCCACATCAAACTTCTAGCTAATCAAGACCCTGAGTCAGTCTTATTCAACTAGTGATATCGTCTTTCGTAAGCCCCTGCGCCTTAGTCGTATTTTATTGTGACGACGATGACGGTTGGCTAGGGTTAGAACGTTGTTGCCATTATTGGTAATACTGATATTATTGCAGCTCACAGCAGTCTCACAACTAGAAATGAAACTATTGTTGTTGTTGGTGTTAGTTACTTTTCAGGTGTGCAAAATCACTTTTTCTGCTAAAGCCAGTTACACTCCCACCGGTATATCGATCTAGGCTTCTTTTTGTCGAAACTAATATCGTGATACGGTCTACCCCGTTTCAATAACTAGCAACAAAAAAAAGAAACGAATCGAACACGATATGATGTGGTCCGCACCGAAAAAATCCATTGCCTCGTTAAATTGGTCGCGTAAGCCAAAGCGTCGCATGCCGACCATTAGTCAAAAACGATTCCTCACGATGTATATGGTTATGTCTGGATGTAACGTATTACGTAGCTGTTTGCTGTTTCTATATGAGATGCCAGATGAGTCATCTGACGTCGTTCGTTTCACACACTTGACGTTCGGTAATAATCCGTATTTGTAAAAACTAACATTTTCCACTATGCGTTCCCTTTCTGTTTTCATCGGATGCGCACGAGCAACGATGACTGCACCACTTTACACAAAATGATTTTCCACCATTCTAATTTTTGGACAAAAACCTAGACAGGTCATTAGCTACGAATTATTGTTAATAGATACTTACACTGTTTTTGGCGAAAAGAAAACGTGCTGCATGTTAATAAAATTCTCGATTAAAAGGATCGTGCAATAAGGATTTCGAGATTACATGATTACTCAATACATATTTCAAACATAGAAGAAAATTATATGGGATATATATTTTAGATACGAAAAATTACGGTGATGAACTGCTGGTGGAAATTAATGATGATGGAGTCCGAAATAGTTGAGAGAGAGACCCAGAGCAGCGACGTTCACAATTCATTTGATGAGTTAACAACGACTGAATGAGTAAGTCGTTATATATAAAAATATAGATAAGGCACATTTCTGTACATGTACTGTGTATAGTAACGGTAGTTATAGGTCATACGACAACTTCAAGTTAAATCAAAAGCATTTAAAAGGTTAGCTCGCTCGGCCTGACAGGCACAAAAATGAAATTCTTTCTAATTTTAGTTAACATAAGCTAATAAATGTTGTTATGTATAAGACTACCTCTATGATGGGTGACTGTAAACTCGTCGTGTTGTTATTTGCGGGCAGTCGGATACATAAAATTGGTTAATAATTATAATGTTTTTAGCATAGAGCTCAACAAGAAAATAGAATGAAAGGTGTGTAGAATTAGAGGCTTGCAGTATGAAATGTTACATCTTGACACATACCGTACATAACATATCTACTACAATTTTGTCTCCAGTCGTTAACCTATCCACGATTTACCTTCATCCTAACTAACTTTCATATGAACGAAATACCTCATAGTACATCGGGTGAAAATCAGTAGACCTCCTTCAATATATACTGCAGTGAGCTAAGTCATTTGCTGATTTTCTAATGCTTAAAACAACTTATACCAATCAGAGGTAGGAATTTCGGCGCTGCTATTACTCTGGTGCTTTATCATTGTTTGTCGAATCGTCAACCTGACCATATTTATAACCCCAGATTCCAGTAGTGCGGTCGCAAGGAATACCATAGAACTGCGAAACTTCATGGCAACTTGGGACAATACCTTGTATAAGAACTGTCACCGGCATTCTCAGGTTTTGGTAAAGGCGGACTAGACGCTCTCACTATTTGGGAACAACATACCCAAGTCGAATAATCTTCAGAGGTAAACGGTTGTCGAAGTAAAATTAAAGCAAGTTCCCAGGTTCAGAGAGAGAAAAATTTCATAATAATATAAATTATAATAAATAAGCGAATAAAAAAGCCGGCAGACATGTTTCCTAAAGTATGATTATATTTGCCTGTAATGTTAGCTTTAAATATGGTTACTCCTTTCTTCGCAAAGGTAAGCTATGCTTTGAAAGGTAGATCTATAATAAACTATAATCTATATAAATAAGTCTAGAATAAACTTACTCTATTGGCAAGGATCAAAGGGTCAATTTGGTAAAAAGTAAGGGTTTTGTTTTTACAATGTGTGAATACCGATGTTTTATGCCTCAGTACTATCGTTGCTATTTTTATTCGGTAGTGAATTTGAATCGTATTTGAATAATACCTTTGTTTTAGGTCGAAAGTTTTCCCGACAAATAAACTTAGTTTAGGTCGTTAATTGGGGCGTCTGAGATAACTGCATCCCGATCACAAAAAAAAAAACTAAGATAACTGAGATTTTTTTATTTATCCCTCTGATTCGTTGCATTGTTAGCGCTTTATTTGCCTGTCATGGCTAAAAATACAAGAGATCAGTGTCTTCATCTCGATTCGGTAAACTAATATATCTATTACATTAGTTGAATACCTTCAGTCGAGTGGCTTTGAAACTCCAGGTTTTCAGGAGATTCTGTTGTTTTGTTCGCTAAGCTTCTTTAGAAATTGCAAGTGTTGTGCGTGGTAGACCACAAATCGACGTTAGAATTGCCAAGATAGAGGACAAAGCGATTAAGAAAACGCTTAAAGTTAAAGACTGGATATGAATTAATGTGACCATAATTTTTATCTTCTGATGAGCATTTATTCGATTTCCTCTTTACAATACCCTGTCCGCACTGTATGTCTAAATGTTTCGCGCCACAGGCAAGATCATTTCGAAACAGAGCAAAACCAAGCGTGGTTTAGGACCATCGAACGCACACTGGTAAACAAAAAACACCACCATTGTGCTTCGAATTATTAGACTTTTTTTTTTTCAATATAAACGGTGGACGGTGATGTTAATTGTGATGTGTTACATAGATCGTTGATTTGGTCCGCCCGGCTAAAAGCATGTATTCGTCCCTGAACAAGCTATCGAATATGTTGCAGTGCTTTTAAGTCGTGTATGTCAAAAAAAACAGGATCAATCAATGTAAATATGAAATATGCTTAATAGTACGCCTTATAGCTCAACGTATCTCGGACATCATTTATCTGTCGTTGTAATCGGACAAACGGATTTACCTTTGTAAATATTAAACGATTCAAATATCACACTGTACGTAGCCATACACTCGATATTATTATAATATTCAATAACGATTTCATTCATCAGTTGAGTACCATTGTATTGGACTTGATAATCATACGTTTGAAGATAAATAGACATTCTAAATGTTTTCACCGGCTGCTATTCAAGCTTTGTAATACAGTCCATCGTCGATCAATATAACAGGGTTTTCAGCTTTGATTGATCATTTGTTACGTTTGCAGCTTTCAGGAAACTCCGCTAAGGAAAACCCTTTACCGCAATGGACGACGTCGTACATCAAAATAGCCTGATTCAGTCAACGGCTGGTGCGGTCCCAGTTGTTAATGACAAGGTAAGTACGCAGCAGAATAACATCCCCCTGCTACAAAAACACGCTGATTTACGTCCATATACGACTATGCATTTCACTCATATAGCATAAGTAGTTCTATAGACAGAGAGCGATAGGCTAAAAATGACGTTCTAACGCATCGTTTTTTCTTATTACTGAGATATTTTAGGGTGAGGTTTATATGAAAAAGGTGAAAGTACAAAGATACGTTTCTGGCCGCAGACCCCGATACGCACCCGATGGAAGTGAAGGTTAGCACCGAACGAAAATCATATTGACGTTATCAGACGCTGGGCTCGGTGGACCTTCACTATTTTCGTATACGAATATTTCTTAAGAATAGAACTCGAGAAAATACTTATGGTAGCAGTACTAATTTGCGAGTGAAACAGAACAGTTCTAATAATAATATTAGCTTGCTAGCTACAGACGTTAATTCATTTGATGGCGAGCAGTACACACTGAGTGGAGAATTTTCATACCTGCATCAATGAAGCCTTAGATTTTAGTTGCTTCTACTAACCATTTGAATGATCTTGTAGATTCTCAAAGCTCAGATGAGGATTTTATCGTCGAGCGCCAAAAACCGTCTCGCCGCGGTGGCGAGCTTTCGAGAGCACATGCTTCTCGGGGGGATGAAGCTGAAGATTCCGATGATGATAATGATAAAGGTGTGCAGCGAGGTGAGGCCAAATCTGGCGAAGACGTCGAGATGAAAGAACGTGATGGCAGATCAGGTGAAGATGAAGACGATGAGATGACCGGCCGTCGTCATTCAGCAGAGAGTGACGACAACGATGAACTCCGCCAGAGAGCTGAAGATGGTGACCAAGCTGACGATCCACGGTTGCGGCGTCTGCAACGCCGCAAGATACAGGAAGCTCGCATTATTGACAATAACGAAGCCGCCGATTCTGATGACTATGACGGTTTGCGTAGAAGACGGCACCAAAGTTCCTCATCGTCATCTTCGTCGGACGGTGATGATCTCGACGAGGAGGAGCGTGAACGCAAACGTCTTCAGATGAAGCAGCGCGCCTTACAGCGAGTTCGTCAGGAAGAACTTGAGGAGGCGGCAAGGCAAGAGGAACGTAGAGCTGCGGAAGGCGATGATGATCAGGCCGCCGAGGAGGATGAATCGGACGAGTACGAGGAATACACTGATAGCGAAGAGGAAGAAGATCTTCAGGGCCCGCCTCGGCTAAAGCCCGTATTTGTGCGTAAAAAGGATAGAGTTACCATTCAAGAGCGAGAACAACTTGAACAACGCCGTTACGAAGCTGAGCTTGAGGGTAAACGGGCTGCTGAAGAGCGTCGCAGGCAGACGCTGAAGATGGTCGAAGCTGAAGTGAAAAGAGAGGTCGAAGAGAACAGAGAGGAGAACAAAACAGGTGTATGTGTTGGCAATATCGATGACGTTTGCACCGACGACGATAACGATGAGGCGGCGTACGAGGCGTGGAAACTGCGGGAACTCAAGCGACTCAAACGGGACCGTGAGCAGCGCGAGGCTTTGGAGAAGGAGAAGCTTGAAATTGAACGACTTCGCAATATGACTGAAGAGGAGCGCTTACGTGAGCTAAAGAACAACCCCACGAAGATTGTGAACCGTCCAAGTAAGGGCAAATACAAGTTTCTGCAGAAATACTACCACCGCGGTGCTTTCTTCGTGCAAGATAAGGAAGAAGATGTTTATAAGAGAGACTTTTCTGCACCCACTCTCGAAGATCACTTTGATAAGTCTGTTCTACCGAAGGTCATGCAAGTTAAGAACTTTGGTCGCTCAGGCCGTACAAAGTACACGCATCTGCTTGATCAGGACACCACAAAAATTGATTCGCCTTGGTCAGCTGAAACTCCGCAGAATCTGAAGTGGCACATCGAAAAGGCTGGGGGAACAAAGCCCGTCTTTGAAAGACCGTCTCAAAGAAAAAAAACAACTTAGCGAGCGTCCTGAACATACAACTTGTCAGTAACCAGAAGGCGTATAACAATGTTCTGTATATTAAGCATTGTATAATTATTTAGTTAAGTTAACTAGATCATATGATGACATACATAAAGTAAATGTATATCAAATAAAGTAAAAATAATTGATTCGTGTTTCACCTCTAAACGTAAACCATGCATGCCTCTCCTGTACTATCAGCATGTATGCATGGTACACCCTATTGTTTTTGGTAAATTTCAAGACAGTTGTCATTCCATTAACAGTGACAAGCCTTATCACGCTCATAATAAAGATACATGTTGCGGTTCGCGACATCGTGGCGCTGATAGGTGTCGAGTTTTTGGTGAGTTGTTCTCGCTGGCTTTAATGGCAGTATCACTTATAGCTGGATTTCCTATCCACGCTCACTCTTGTCAAAGTAAAATTTGAGACTTCGGAACGACAAGTTCTAAATGTGCAGGATTTTAGAAAATACACAAGAGATAAACTATCCTTGTAATCATATACTGGACATGCCAGCTAATCTGAGAACTATAAAGCCACCTTTTATAAGCACTAATTTCGTTGAAAATTGGCAAATGTATAATGTTTAATAAGAATTAATTTAAGACGACTTTGACAGATTTTTTTTCAACATAAGTGTCATTTCCTTGGAGGATTTTTCAGTTTTGGAGAATGCACTGCACACAAAATCCGGAGGATTAAGATTTGGGCCCTCTGCAAGCTCAAATTACTAAAGAGCCAGTTATAAACAAAGTAGCTGCTGTGAGTAAGTTCGCCGATTCTCTAAAAATCGTATTGTTTTCTGTGTGCTGATTTAGCAATTTACGGTTTCAGTTGACTTGCGTATATACTAAGTCCTAGTATGATGAATGACGTCTCCTCCATCAGGTACAAGGCCGAGATCATAAACGCTTGAAGGAAATTTCGTATTAGCCACAGTTCGAGCATCTTTAATGTCATAGGCGCTTCTTCAAACGCTCTTTTAGGTTCCATAGCAAGAAGTACTTACTCTTGGATGCCGTATGATCGATCCAGAAACGTTCCAAATAGAGCTATAGTTAGTTTATTATCGATCGGACAAGCTTGCTTTAAGGCACTCTCTTTGCCGATAAAATGCATAATTGTACCACGCTATTTGTAATTTAAATCACTCTAGATTTCAATTGCGCACCCTCGATTTGTTAGATCTTTTGTTGCTGATTTTAAAGCTGGGCTTTTCATATTACAGATCTGCCATTATATATTTAACATACGACTTATTTGCGCAAGTCGATGAAGGTGGGTTTCTTTCCAGTGTTTGCCCTCATTGACCTAACTGAAAAAGTCGTATAGGTTTAAGGTAGTTTTCTGGACGACTTGGAGTTTCGAAAAAGAAACATAGATTCTGCGTAATTGAAAACGCCTACGTTTTTTCGAGATCCTTAACGCTATTGGACTTATACATCTAGTTTTATTTTTCTTGATTTTAAATTAACCTCAACAATTGTATAGTTTGTGTGTATACAGGGACACATCGCCATCGCCAGTCAATTCGACTTTCCACTTATATCCCTAATACATTTAGTATTCATTTTATGTTCATGTATTACCAGCATAGATATCTGAATGTGACGAAATCAGATGCTATACGGTAATTTGACGGCAGTTGGGGACGTACATTTTATACTAAGAAGAAATTTGTAAATGTCCCCAGCGTTTATGAAATAACGCACGTAGCCGTGCCTGGTATCCAAATAGGATTGCTGTCATTGCAAACTTCGGATTAATGTAGTTTACGATTATATACAAATAAATACAAAAATAGATTTTGCGTTCAATTCAAATACATTTTTGGTTATGTTAAAAAAATGACCTACAATTGTTTGTAGAACGGGCCGAAGAATACGGGCAAAAATTGATCATCGCCAGTACAAAAAGCCCTGTATGTAGAATTTCAATAGAAAAAGCACCGTTTTCGCGTACCCGGTTTTCGGCATTTTCGTGTATAAAATCACAGACGGAGTTTGAGATATTACCGCAGGTTGAATGAAATGCAGACTTCGTAAATTATTTGGTATTATACGAAAAAATGTCTCCTATGCTTGCTCTTTCATTCTAGTCGGATGCACAGGCCTTTTTACAGCTGCAAAAGCTAGATAAATGGGTGGCAAATGGAAAATGCCTGCAGATGCATCTTTGCGTTACATTATTGCTCTGTTTTTCGGAAGTATTAAAAAATCTTAATTTAATTGCCCCGGAATATCAGTTTGTATACGCCCCATAGATAAAATTTCAACTTTAAGCCGTTACATATTTTTAAAGTAAAACATCGGAAGCTTCTATAATCTCAAATATTTAGTAGACAAGTGTTTATCCAAATAAACAGTATGTTGCTTTGGGTTAAGGTTAATCTGACTAAACAAGCATGTGTTTTACAAATATGTTCCCTGAAAGTATTCTTCAGAAAATCCGTTCTGATCTACAAAAATAGCTCACCGCCAATAAAGACCTTATGCGAAAGAGAAATCAACAAAGTCATAGATAGTTGAAGATGAGAAAAAAATTGCGAAGTTTGTTGTTTTGTTGGACCGATTGATTTGTGTAGAGTGTGATCTTCAATATTTAGAGAAATAGGCAAGTTGGAGCCGAAAGTGAGAAGAGCCAGCTAAATGGTAAATGTTAATGCAAATAACGCTGGAAGAAACAAAACTAGATGAGGGTATATAACTGGTTTTGTAGGAAGGGCAAGCCTACAAGGTATCAGATATGTTACTATACGAAAGGGCTAATGAGCAAAAGAAATGGGTCGTTTAATGGAAGAGCTATTTACTGTCAACGAATAGTTACAACAAATTAAACTATTTCTGTTTTCTTCCTGGACTCAGGTACCCCTGATTTTTTTAAAGAGATCATAGAACTGATTTAGATTACTCATATAGAAATCATGTACTGGCATAGCAGTTTTGCACAAACGACTCAGCAGATCTTAACAACGTGATCCGTTCGGTCAGTGCGCAATTAAGGAAGTAACATTTCACCATAGGGTTGATTTCGGGGCGTATTTTTCCCAATTAAATATTCCACCCTTATTTTCTTTTTGATTTGTCAGTGAATTTATCTACTGCCATCTGCCATAAATGTCATCATGGATTCATTGAGACTTGGGAGTCGAAGCCGCCCGAAACGCCAAGTTTCCATGCCGCTCACTCCCCTACACATGTGTATATACATACGGTGGACGAGCCCATCCTAGTGGAGATGATGTTGTACTATTGGGGGTCAGTAAATGTAATATCATAGCAGTATACGTTCGCCTTCTGAGCAGCGGGAACACAAATGGCTTCCGGATGTACGCACTATTAGACCTACTTAATGACTTTGAGTTTCTCCTACTCTCTGATAGTAACAAGCCAACGTGTGAGGGTTATATGAGGGGATTGATAAATTCCATTTTGAGTACCTGAAAAACTGGACACATTGGAAGAAACAATTTGCTAAGTAAGGGGAATGCTTTAAGGCAACATGTAGCGATTGTAGTGAAAGTGTTTCTATAGGAAAGGACAAGTCCGTAAAGGCAAGCAGCTCGTCTACCTTATATGCGCGCTCCGAACAAGTCAGGTCCCAAATTAACAACCCTGTGTCTGATACCACGATAGCTGAACCACGAATCTTATATCGAATTCTCAACCGAAGTGCTATCATTGTTCGAAATTCGCCTGAAGCACCGGCGATGACGCCTGTGGTCCTATTTCATTTGTAAACTGGTTACTGTTGCACAGCGCCAGACACGATAATTGAATAAGCGTCACGTGGCTATCAAGCTGTTCCATAAGATTTCAAAAACCTGCTAATTCAGCGAATATTTAAGGCTGTTTATAAGCAAATTTTGTATTGCAGGCGGATATGTTAATGATACAAGCGAAAAAGTAACCTTACGAGTGAATGCGGAAAAAGAACGACGCCATACTTTATAAACTCTGTAAAGTTAATAGAGTACTTCTGGTCGCAACTATGGTCGCAACGGCAGACAGCATTGTACGAAGCGTGCTTCGTATACTGGTGCATGGAATGAACAAAGATCTACCATGCACGACGGGCTAAAGGTGGAGTTTTTTCTGTCTAAAATACAGCGCTTCTTAACTTAATACAGACCGGGTATGATCCACAGTGAACTTCTAAAAAGTACGTTTAACTTATTTCTTTACTAGACCAGCCTGTTCAAGCTTGCTTACGACACAGCCACCTACTAACAAATTGGAATGAGTTCCTATTGTGTATCATACTCACCGGAAAAAACAATCTGTTTGACTCATTTGGTTGAAGGGCGATCACGAAAAGAAGCTGCTGCTATAAGCTTCTAGCTCATCTCATGACACGTCATCAGATAAGACTTTTAGAAGCTTGTTCATCTATTCTAGCTAAATATAGCATGGATTTCGTATAGGACATTTCATCCTTATAGCATGTAACAAACTGCGTTGAAAGGTCTGTCGCAGACCAAAACAGTCATTATTCGCTGCGCTCGTAGGGTTCAAGTTGGCTTTTGATATGGTTCCGATAGGTAAAATTCAAATAGGGCTTGCAGAATGCAACGCCCCACAGAATATTCTGCATTTAACCAGGGTGGTATTAGAGGAAAATTCGGTGGGCATAGGTGACAGCGTTACCCAATTAGAACAACCGGCATTACCCAGAACAATAACCTGAATCGTTTGCTATTATCTTCGCTTTTCAGTCACCTGCCATTCCGTGTTCAAAATCTAGCGGATAAATAAAAACGTTGCTGCGCGCCGAAGGTCTTGTGACTTTTGGAGAAAGCCGATTGAGAGAAGATCTAGCACGCCCTTGTCCCGCTGTTGAGCAATATGGCAAAGATGTCATCAAATTCCGTCGTCGAGGCCGCGATGCTGCTTGCTAGACACTTTACATAAGCAGAACCATTTTAAAGTGCGTGAATAACTTCATGTAGCTAATGTTGCCTACGAATCGCCGAATTTTTCACTGCGCAGTACGGAGAGAACACGGCAAGCGATGGTTGCGATGGTTGGGAGTACGTACGTCCTCGAGATTTCCCTTACGCACAACGCTGATTTTATCCAAAAATAAAGGCGCTGCCTACAGAACCCAAATTGTCTCAAAACATCTTTTATCAAAGCAGCTCAAA